CTTGCCTTTGCCAAGAAACACTGGGGTATCAATTTTGAAAAATTTGTTTCTCGAAGATGTTATAACTTGAAAATGGCTTTGAAAAATTGTACCACCAAAAGATGTTATAACTCCACAACAATTTCTTGTTTATACTGGGGGATATAAAACCTTCGATTCTATTAGGCAACATTTTGAAAAAAAGACATGGAAAATTTAAATGAAATTTCAAAAATTTTAGAAAAATTTCAACTCTAAGAAAATATTTAAAAATCTGACTGGGAAATTTCTAATTGGAATGCATTTGCTTTTTATGACAGGAAATTAGGAGATGCAAAAATATAAAACTATATAGATTTTAAAACTAATGGTTGCATATGTTATGACCTGAACATTCACAAGCAAATTTTGTGTGGTTTGAGGATTGGATGGATGTTGAGGCTTTTGTGGCTGAAGTTTGAGGTAAAGGATGGCTTTGAGGTGTTTACATGGGGCTGGTTTGAGTCGTTTGGTAGTGAGGATTTTGCTGTGATTGCAAAGGTCATTTATATGTAAACATTTTACAAGCAAAGTTTATTCATAGCAACAAAAAACTGAAATTAAACGTCTTCTTTAGGGTGCAACTTATCGAAAATTATTTAAGCTAAGGAGTTCACAATTATGACTTAACAAAACTTGAAAATTCGATAATAGAAAGCCAAAAAACAGTTTAATACAGCCAAAGCTATTACATTTTTACAACACTGCTTAGGCACTTTCTTAAAAGATAAGGTGATACAAATTTTTTCAATAAGAAGCAAGAAAGTTTTTTAAGAGAACATTTAGAAAGATATTGACAAAACTAAGGAAGGTTTTGTACCAGTTTATCAAACATGAATTTTTCAAAGTATTTTTTTTTCTAGAACGTTTGATATAAGGTAAAATAACTCGGTGTTGTCAATTTGAGGATAATATGCCTTGGCATTCACTATGAGCATTCTCAGTTTCCTAATTCCCAAGAGAATATTTATTGTTCTGAAAATTCCCAAGCGACAAAGCATGCAATAGGAATGCATCCCCAGCACGTGTACTGCATTGAATCAGTAGATGAGAATGGCTCATTGCTTTTGTAAACATGCAAACGTTAACTTTGAAATGGGCCTAAATTTTATCATTATTTCTTAGTTTACCGAAATTGCACCAAAGACATTTTCCGAAAATATTCCGAAAGTCCAAAGAAACATAGAAAAATGTCTTAATTCGTTTTATGCAATCTATCGTTTGGCTTAAACTCGTGTTAAACATACAAGGAAAATTATCGCGAGGTGTAAATGTGTTTAAAACTGTACAAGAGTTTCTCTGTATATGCTAGATTGAAGCATTTAATGCCCATAATAGCCTATCATACTTGTATCACACCAGCCTAATGATAACAAACATGTTGAGGCAGATCTTGACACGCTAAGTGACGAAGCGTCCCTTGAGTAAAAAATGGCACAAATGCAGGAAAACCTGAGGATCTCTTTGTCTCAATGCACAATTGGCATTCATACTCGTGTTGAAAAACATTTTGGTCTACTTCTTTCTAGAAATGTGTAAGCAAACATTGACCATGAGAACTTATCGTTTCTGATCGATCCTATTTACTAAATTGTGGAACAATATTGTTATTGGATTGCTATTATTGTCTGGTGATATTTCCATTTCGATTTTGCTGGTTTCCTCTTCCTCTTTTCAGATTGTGGAGATCGATTTTGCAAACAAGCATGCCACGTGGACTGAAGATCGAAGAGAGAAAATTGAAGAAAATGAACAATTTATGAAAAATGGGACTTGCAATTTGATATTATAATAAATTATCGTTCCTTTATTTAATCGGCATATGTTCGCAGTACAAGGAAACAATTACCATTAACAAAAGGATATTATTACAAGGACCCTTAAATATATTCATAGATCGATCGATGGTTACCAATTGATTCAGGTTTCTGGTGACAATATGAAGGTAGATAGATATTTTTTCAAACCAACATCAACGTAAGATTAGATCCCTAAGAGCTAATCGAGTGATTCTTGTACTATTATCAGTAATTTCTTCGATTTTGGATTAGCTTGTCCCATCCCAGTAGCAACCGTAAGTCAATTTTTAATGTAGCCTATCTCATGAGCCCTTTGAATGCCCCCTTTTCACCCACTACTTAAAATGCCCATTTAAGCTCTTATCCATTTTCATGTTTGATCACAGTACAATTTGCTAGAATCTTCCATAAATTATAATATTTATTCTTAATGTCCCAAATAATTTATCGCCTTTATAAGCTTTTGATCATCAGTCCCGATTTTAAGGTGCTAAATGCAATATGTATTCGTAATAACAAAGTCCAAATGCTGCGAGACATTGCCGAGTAACCGTACTTAGTTTAGCGATGTAAGATTGGAAAGGTTTCCTCTTCGGATGGATTTGAGCAAGGCGCCTGTTCTCATCTGTCTTTAGAGTAGGCCGTTTCTTTTCGTTTAACGTAGTATTAATCATTGTAATTAGTATGCTTGTAGTATAGTATTATGCTTGTAATTAGTTTGTAGTATGCTTAGGAGACTGTTTTCGGTGTTGCGTTAGGGGTTATGGCACGGCGTTTTAATCGGAGAGTTACCAAGAGGGCCTTGTCCTTCTTGTTAACCCTTTGCTTAAAACGCCATGTTTACATAACCCCTAACTCAACATTGAAAGGGTTTTCTTAGCACGGTGTTTTAATCAGAGGGTTAACAAGGGGAACTTCTTTTTCCTCTTGTTAACTCTTTGCTTAAAACACCTTGCTAAGACAAACCCCGACTGAAAACAGTCTCCTCAGCACATAGAGTAGACATTAAATTGTAAGTAGAGTAAGATCGCTTGAATGAAGAGGAGAAAATCGAACTGGATTGTTTTCAACCCCCCGTCTTTCTACTGCTGCAAACGAGGCTACTGAACCCCCGTCTTTCTGTAAAACGAAAACGAGGCCAGACGGGCAAAATAGAGGCATCTGATTGGCTACTAAACAAAGGAAAAAACAATAAAGAAATAAGATACTCTGATTGGTCAATAAACAATAGAATAATTAAAATAGTGAACTCTGATTGGTCGAAAATACAATGGAGCGGGTAAAAATGGCGTAATCTGATTGGCTAATAAACAATGGTGGCCCTCCGCGGCCAAGGGCTACCTTAAAATTGGTATATTAGTAGGTGACGGCTCCCGCCCGCAGCCACCAAAAGGGCTGAAATGGAGCAATTTGATTGGTTGAAAACAATGACCTGTCAATCATTTACGGCTCCAAGCCGCCTTTAGATCAGCCACTGGTCGCGGCCAAGATTTTTGGCTGAAGACAATAAAAAGCCGGGGGACTTTGCCACCAGAATGTTTGAAACTCTGATCCCAATTTCAAAAGAGTTTTCAATAGAAATCCGGGGGAATATCTTTTGAATTCCCATTGTAATTATTGGAGACTTCCATTGAAATCTTTACTAAGTTTTAAAGATTGTACAAAAGGAATAACCATAGAAATACAAAGCGTCTTTGTCATGAACACAATCAAAATTATATGAAGTCGGGGGTACATTCAATAGAATTAAAAGTGAAGTACAATAGAAAATCGGGGGTAAATTGAACAGTATCCAAGGCAAAATACAATAGAAAATCGGGGGTAAATTGAACAGTATCTAAGGTAAAATACAATAGAAAATCGGGGGTAAATTGAACAGTATCTAAGGTAAATACAATAGGATATCGGGGGTCAATTGAACAGTATCTAAGGTAAAAAACAATAGAAAATCGGGGGTAAATTGAACAGTATCTAAGGTAAAATACAATGGGAAATTGGGGGTAAATTGAACTGTATCTAAGGTAAAATTCAATAGAAATACGGAGGTAATATAATAGAAGATTGAGTAAAATACAATAGAAAATCGGGGGTACATTGAACAGTAACTTAGGCACAATACAATAGAAAACTTTTGCTGAATTCAATAGCACATTGGACAAGGCTCAATTGAAATGACAAAAGAAATTGCCGGCATTACAATAGAGCGCTATGATGGATACAAAGCTAATTGCGGGGTTGCGTTAATTATAAGACAAAGGCGTGCCGGGGGAGACTGCAAATGGGGTAGCGTGTTGCTTATAAGGACGGGGTGGGGGCCAAAACTAATCTTGGCCGTACGTAAGTGCCGACGCTTGGAAACCAATTCAAGCAAGATAAATGCCACAGTTTTCACAGATGAATCGAAGAATTGTTAAGAGAAGTTTAAAGGAGTGCTTGCTTCTGAAATAAAATCGTTAGATTTTATCTCAAACGCGTGGGGGATAAACACAGAAACTAGGCAAATTTTGAAGGGCATATGATATCTATCGCAAACAAATTATACAAATTAAACCAATAAAAAACGATTAAGTATAATTTACAATATATAATTTCGAATACCGTTGAAGTTCGCAAATTGCAAAATGTTCGCATGTCTGTCATTTGAGTTCGTTTTCATTCAGCTCGTGATTCTTCGTTATTTCAAGGTTTCATTGAAGTGAGAAACATCCCAGACCAGTGATTCAAGCAATTTCCTATGAAATATAAAAATTACTCTATCAATGCTATCAGTATATTTAATCTATTTCAAAACTGGATTCGCTGTTAACGGGTCGCGTTGAAATAGGACTTTATGTTTACGTATGGGGGTCGCCCCCCCCAATAGAATTTAATTTGATAAAACAATAAAGCATTGCAGATAAAAATCTAAACAAATCCGTAAATATTGGGCTAGAATCAATCTGTTTTGTGTTATTTATTAATCGAGTAGCAAGCGGCATGTTCGGAAAGAAAGATGTGGTTGGAAAAAGAGGAAAAACGACTCAACGAAATCAACTGTGAGGCAGAAAAGAGAGTGTCACACCGTATCAAAAAAGCTCTGATTGATATACGGTGATATGATAAGAAAAACACTGTACTTACATTTGGAATTTGCAATTTTCCGATCAAGATTTGTACAAGTTCTTGAGCTCCGCTTCTTGGCAATTCAAATTCAAAGGCAATCCTTTCGTTTGAAAAGAGAACGTTCTAGAAAAAATTCAATAGGGGAAGATCAGATTCGGTTATGGAAAATTCAAAAACATGTGCAAATACAAACACAAATTCATATCAGAGTTTTAACTCAAAGAGAAATAGAAAACAATTAAATTTTATAATAGGTCTTTAATGATGGCAGCGGAACAGGGTTTAATAATTTGCAATAGTCGATTTCTTCGTTTGACCATGCATGGCCTTCCCACTTTTCGCTAAATAAGTGAATAAAATTAGCTTTAAGTATTTATATAAATAAAACTTTAGATTACAACAAATACATTGAGCTAAAGTCCACCATTAAAAAAGCGTCAGCAAAATGATGGCCATAATCGGGGCTAAAGGGGGAAGAGGAAACAATCTTTACATCGATGACCCCCCCCTCCCAGCTTAGGATCAGTGGCACAGGCCCTGAAAGAGAGCATTCTCAGAAATAAAAGGACCCTTAAATATTTTGAAGGGGAACAGTAGGCCGATTCACTATTGCCGGAATTCGAAGGCACAAAGTTATTTCAGTTCAGTGCCTGAGGGGTATCCAGTTCTGCCTAGAAGCAAGGGGGCAATGCAAGCAAGCTGGCCTCAGCCAGTGAAACAAATTCAGTTATCAATACAACTTTCTCATTTCAAAAAGGCTTCTAAAACAATAATAAATAAAAAATGCTTGAAAAAATTGATTTCCACAAATTGTGAGGGTGTGGTCAAACAAAGTCAAAACCTGATTGGGTCCTTTGGTAGGGTATGGTGGAGGCTTGACTCCAGCCAGTGACCCGCCATCCCCTTCCAAATAAAGTTTCTTTATGAAAGGTTTAGTGGATAGGTGCGGGCCTTCAAGAAAGCTGTGTTTTGAACTCTAAAACTAACATTGTTTTGTGGAAGAGGGATGCATTGTCGATCTTTTTTACCAGAAACAGTTAATTTTTCAAAAAGAAACTCAAGCAACTGGGCTTTCCAAGAAATTTTTTACAATGCTTAAGAGCCTGCAAATCTAAAAATTCTGAACAAAAATTGAAAGTTTTCGAGAAAACATACGATTTTTAAAATAATTGTAGGCTTTAATAATAGACTTTTAATTTTGTGCATTCCTAAAAACCTGATCAAAGTTCAATTCTATGTCCCCCTTAAACACCAAAAAATCGTGAAACGCCTTTCCTTTCTGAGTAAATTTTTGAGATTATGCATGCGCGACGGTTTTGGGAAGTAAATTTATCTCAACAAAGACGGGTGTTCAAAAGTCAAGGGATAAAAATGATAAAATGACTAGGAATTGAATATATAAAAATGTTTGACAAACTTCATTTGAATATGTGGGTATCGCCTAAAATTCAAATCTTAAGTTGTCTTGTATTTAAAAGATTTGGCTCCAAATATAATACATAATACATAAAGATAGAAGAATTTGGAAAAGTAAGGTAGTACCTCAGGTATAATTCAATATATCATAGATGCATCCATGAAACTGAAGCAGTTAAAACATGCTTTTCCAGCTGTCCCATCTCTAAAATGAAAAAAGAACGTACAGTTTTGAAAATAACGATAAAATGCAAAGAAGAATTCTGACAGCTACTCTCGAGGGTAGGGAAACATTTGATATTCAGGGCCATTTCCTAGTCTGTTAGAAATAGTCTAAACAGCGAAGTAGACTTCCCAACTGATCAACTTTTCAAGTTAAAATAAATTTTTTTGTATTTCAGAATTACCCCCCTTTTTGCTTCATCTTAGAGCTTCTTTCACTTTCAAATAGCGCTACTTTGAATTGGTAAATATTAAAACATATGATCTGACCCTAAGACTTCCCATACTTGGGAGCTGCAGCTGAGGCCAATTCATAAACGTTGATCAAACATCTAACACTGAACTTGTTTCTGATGAAACATCTTGTGCTGAGATACAATCAACTCCTCGCAATATCAAGTGAAAATAGATAGCAAGCCATACCTCATGGTCACATCCTGGTACTCTTTTGGCAGCGCCGAGAAAACAATCCACTCCTTATATCATGTCTTCAAGTCACGTACCATTTCTGTTTTAAATCGTGCTTCATTTTGCCTGATCAGCAATGGGTATTCCAGTCTTCCTTTGGCCCCTCTTGCTCATAATGGCATCTCCCCCCCCCCCGAAATAGTTAACTTTTTAATCAGCTGGGCGTTCCAAAGAATTTTGGCAAAGATTTTAGTTCTTTTCCTTATATGAATCAATGTATGTCACGTTTATTTGGTCTTTACTCAACAGTGTACTCTCAACATTAAAAAATACTGTGGAAGTTTAGTGTTTGCTATCGACAAAACTTGGGTGATTCTGGTTTTTTAGTTAAGACAGGCACCTTTTAAGTGCAAAGTTAAAGCCCCTTCAAAATCTTAACAGAGTCTGCATTCGATACTTCTTGAAACAAAGCTATCCCAAAATGAACACTAACGATAAACTAAGCGGTACAACTATATTGTTTTTCTAATCTAAGTAATACTCTTACATATACCTGAATATTCAGCATCTTAGAAATATTGGCCACAAGGAGAAAAATAGGTTTTGAATTGTGGAATTGAAAATATTTATCATTGGAGATAAGACTAAGAAATTTTTTCCTATTTTGGAATCAAAATAAAATGAACCAAAACACAAAAAGAGCAAATCATAGTAGAAGTGTGAAAAAGGACACTTTATTAAGTAACAAAATCGCCAGTGATTAACTAGGTTGGGATTCAAGGATCCTAACTGATGTTGATCCAGAAAGGGAAACTTATTTAAACTTTTTGGATTTAGCAGTACAATGTCTAAAGACAAGCAGACATCTTTGAATGTTTTATTGCCTTTACCAATTCCATTGGACCTTTAGATGCCAACCAGAAATAAGATGTACGGTGAACTCAGTCTTAACTCGAAGTAACAAAAGGGGGGCTTTAGGAAATTGGTTGTTTAAATAATTAAAGATCCGATCAGTAGAGATCTATTAGTGTGGATGTCTACTCCAGTTTTTAAAAAGAAAAAGTGAAAACAGTTTCGTATGAACAAAAGATCCATTGTTTGTGAATAGTTGAAACTTCAAAGATATAAATAGGACTTAAAAATAAGTTTCTTGTAAGAGATCATTGCAATAAGCTTTTTCTCGAAGTTACGAACATGAAAAATTCTTAATACTAAAATCTGAAACTAACAATAAAACTAAAATTTTAGATTTTTGTTTCTACCTTCAACAACGTCTGATGGTAATGCATTAATTTCATGTTTATGTTCATATAATAAACATATTTGCAGAAAGCTTCCAGGTATTGCGTCAATACTGTTTGCTATACAGAAAAGATGACCATTAGAAATAAACAACAAAAGCTGGTAATATGTGAAGAGGAAGAAGATTAGCAGGGGAAAGACTGCAATGTTTGTAGATTCATTTAACCTTACGTACAAGATGGAGGGCTAAATGTCTCTAAACTTACTACTTGCGGAAAAGTTTAATAAGAAAACTCAAACATTAGCTGACGATTTCATTGAAGTTTAAAAACCTTTTAAAAGCTCTAGCATTGTAAGATTTTTTGGTCTGTTTTCTAAAACTGTATTGAAGAAAAACCTGGTATTGATTTGTCTTGATGGATAGCGAAGATAGACTGATCGAACAGCTATCCTTTCGTGAGCACGATGGGTGGAAAGATTTATACAGATAAGATATTTCTTAATAAAAAGCAAAGTCTTGATTAGCTTGCCAACCATTAACCAAGGAAAACAACACGGGCATATTAAGGATGAGTGAACTCCCAAAAAGAATTGGGAAATAGTTCTTTGAAAAATCTTTTTGTGGTACAGAATTTGAAAAACATTTTGAAAAAAGCAAACATATTGTAAAATTTCGCCTGATACTCGAAAACTCCGTTTTGATATTTGATGCTCTGATGTTTTATACTCTGAACAGTGTCAGACGAAAAGCTTTTGTAACATGTTTCAAAATGTTTGCTTTTTTCAAAGCCATTTTGAAATGTTCTTTGCTCTAAAATGTATATAGGATCAGTTAATAGCTAAAGATCTTGTAAAGAAAGAAAAGGTGAAAAGATATGCTGATAAAAAGAATAAAGCAAGAGTTTTATCAAAGTTACAAGTAGGGGATACAGTAGGGGAAAAAATATATGATCTTAAGCATTACATCTTCACTGCCAAGAAATTTGGTATGATAACAGCAAAAAGGAAAGGAAAACAACTTACAAGGCATAGATCGCTTTTAATCGTATAAGTGGCAGAGTCGATATTCCACTACCATCAACACAGGAAAGACGTTATAATGATGATTATTATGATGATGAATAAAGAGAGGAAAATGGTCCAGCTGGAGAAAAAAGTCGAGAACCTCAGGGGCGCTATTAACAGGCAGCTCAAGCTTAGAATAATAGGCAGACCTTAATGTCTTCAAAATACTCGAGTGATACTTGACAGTTTAGCAAAACGAAAATGCCAGTGACACATTCTAGATTTTAAGTATATAAAGTAAAAAGGTTAGTTTTGTTGGATGGAGGACCCTAGGACACATGCTAAGGTTACCGAAAAAGAGTATAGGTACAATTATTTGTTCAAAGTGCACATTTGTCCTGACGCAAAGGTGACGATTAGGAGGAGGACTGGCAGGGTCTCACTTGACGCTCACTGCACCTTTACTCGGCGCACTGCTCTTTTATTAAGGCGTGTTCTGCAATACACTCCTAGGACATTGCAGGCATGCTAAATAAACACATACGGTCACTCTGTCAAAAATCCTTCCACTGGCATTTCACAGAACTTCTTTGTATTTTGCGAGTGATCTTTAGTTCGATGGTTGATTGAAGAATGCATATGAGTCCTTTTCTGCATCACATTCGCCTATCATCTGAAAAAAACAACGAGAATAGCTGTTTTACAAGTCTGCCATAAAATGCTTGATGACGAATAGGTAGAGCTGTGCATGATTTGGTGTATAGAAAAGGTCAGATTATAAGCTGCAGCTCCAAGTTCCTGAGCTGATGATCGCATTAAGCGTGAAACTCTGACTCGCAACTAAGAACCTTTCTGTTCTACACACCTAAGCGTAAAAACAAAACACGATGAAAACACAAAACACAAAAGGTACAGGCATGAAATTCCCTAAAAACTGGGGCAAAGCAGACATCTTCTCTGCAAATTCTTATTTGCAAATAGCCTTGCAGTATACAGTTATTTTCCATACTGGACTGTACAGTATCTTAAAAAAGATGCAATTTTGAAGAAAAGGCTTGATGAGTTTCTTATAAAAAATAAGTATCTTATAAGATGAAGAGTGGTGCTTTGTATTTCATGTTAAAGTAATTGACAAGTCCCAGGGACAAAAACAGATTACTTTTCAAGGATTACAAAAAGCAATTTTAAGATTGAAAAACATATTACATTAAATGTAAAACTATTTATCGAACAAAAATGTTTATTCAACTTTTCGAACTAACTTGGTTCATCATTAGCCAGTCTGAATAATAAACCGAGAAACGTTAAACCGAGAAAGAAAACAAACTAAAAAAAGAGGTAAGAAGTCAAAATAATGAGAACTATTTTGATTTAGATCATGTACAAAGCAAGGAGGGCTAGAACGAATTTATATGGTATTGATACTATCAGATTTATTGGTCAAAATAATGGCAGACTTTGCCAAAGAAATCAAAGAGTCCCGAGCATTAAAAACATTCAAAAGAAATATTAAGTCCATCAAAACTTTGGACTGCAGCTGCAAATTGTGCAAGAACTTTGTTCCGAATCTAGGTTTTTTGTAATTAGTATATTTTTATTTTGTAATTTGTATATTATGTATAGTTGGCTTTAATTAGCTAAACGCTATTTTCTTTGCTAACTCTAAATAAAAAAATTGTTTATATTATAAGACGAATAAGCATGAAAGTACAAAAGTCTTGATACACCACGCTAGAATTTCGCATAAGTTCAGTCGCGTCTCCGTCTCCCCCTTGAAACAATATTGAATAACAACAGTTTCAAAGCTTGAAATTCAACCAATGCTACTCCATCAGCTAGGGTAGGTAATAGGCTTTTCAACCAACATTGTTTTGGGGGGAGGGGGGATATTTCTTTATCTTACGATCGAAAACTTTTATTTTGTCAAAATCTTTCAGAGACCGCAGGGTGTTTACAGGACTTTAGGCAAGAATGGTAGCTGATCGTCAACAATGAGATAGTTCTTATGAGCGTAGAAATAGGTCAAATGACCCAAAAGCTCAATTAGTTGAATGCTCTCTAAGCATAGCTAAACGCAACTTGAAAGCTATCTAGGATAATTCTTGAGTACTTGAGTAATTTTAGATCAATAACTAGAATGAAATTCTATCTCGTATCAAATAACAACACCCTTAATGAATGATGAATTATGCAAATCGATAGGACAGGTGTCATCTGAACAGCTGTACACGATGAACTAGAAAACTGTATGAGCGAAATGAAAGCATGAATGGACGGCAGATTTCCAAAAGTTCGTGTAATAAGCATATGTAAATGCGGTTTCAAAAAAAGAGAAAATCCAGAATTATAGCGAGATAAAGAGAGCTATTAGAACAGTTTCTAGAGTGGGGAATGAATGAAACGTGTCTTGGAAATGAACAAAAATATCTGCAACCTGGTTGGATAATACCTTAAAAGGCAAATGCTAAAAAAAGAAAGTCTAATAATGAGAGACGCGGTGTTGAAACTTTAAAATGCAAATTAACGAGACTAGATAATGAATTTAAGAAAATTGAAGAGAATGACCTAGAAGAACATAACTGGAAATCATCACGACACAGTCACATCTGACAGCAACTGTGCAAAAAGCACAAAGAAAACTGGAGGAAGATAAAAAGATCTGCAACAGTCAATCTCTGGGAATTTATAATGAAGAGAAAGATTGGGGAGGATTTTGCAAACATGAAAACTTGTGAACAAAAATAGAGAAGGGAATGAATATATGTCATTAGCATATATCTAGGGGCAGGTGAACTGTTGGGCTTATCAGAAGAATGCTGAGGGAAGGTTTTTAACCATTTAAGTTTCAAACTACGTGACATAAAATCTTCTGATTCTGTTCTGGTTTTTGATCATGTGCAATTGAAAAATAACATAGCTTGATTATGGAATCAGAAATATTAAATTAATTTTAAATTGAAACTTTATAAACCTAAATGCTAAAAATTTATTTCACTTAGACTGTTTTTAGAATGATCAATTTTAAGTTTTATATTCTTGTAATATTCTAAACATATATATTTTTGCAGGTTTTATTACAAATTGTCACATCTACCTTGAACCCTTGCAAAAAATGGTACAATATAATGCTTTTTACTATCACTTTTGAATTAATATTTCTTTCGGTGAGACATAAAAACTTGGGCTTGTTTTTCATATCTTTGCCGATTATTTGGCTATGTGCAAACAGCAATGAATGACAAAAAAAAAATATTATGATTCTCAGATGCTACAACATCAGAACATATATGCGAAATTCTCAACGCTTTGAGAAGCATTTGCACTTTTCTAAGAGACATCTTCGTAAGAAATGTAAATCTGTACACTTAAAAAGGCCCTTAGTGACAAAATTTCCTAAGTCTGCAAAATCTCCATCACAAAATAACATCTTTCTAATACAGCGCGTTAATGTTTGTAAACAGTGCTTCTCTGGCAACAGATGAAAACGTGAGTGATCTTTGTTAAGTAAAATAACCAAAGGATTTCCTCACCTTGAAACCAAGCGATTCAGCCATGGCCTTGACTTTCTTGTTATATTCAACACGGTGTTCGTGTCTCAAGTCAAGCATGAAGCTACAAGAGACAATACAGTCTACAACGTTATTTTCATTTTATCTCTAATAGCTTGCTTTTTCACACAATAAAAAGTGGTAATATAAAATAAATCATACTATAAACATGAGAAATGTTCAGTTAAGTTAGCAAATAAGTGAACGATCTCATAAGATTAAAATTCAAGGCATAGGGGATAGCAGAACATTTCAACGGAAACCAAATCAATTATCCGCAAATTACTCTTCTAAGTACATAAAACATCGGATCGTGTCTTAAAAGACGGCATAAGTATTCAATGGAAAAAGCAGCCTCGCTCATTGGTTGCCATTGACCAATCAAAGGTCTTTAAATGCTTGCGTGGTGTAGCATTCTTAGTGACAAAACAAACTCCCTTTTAAACTATCTTAAAGCAAACAGATTCTAAATCTGCTACATAAATAGCAGGAATTTTGAAGACGTTTGTTGAAATTCGTAAGTCCTCAAAATTAAATTGAAAGTTCATGGAAGTCTAGCATATTGATGATTACTTTTCACTTGAATCAGTTTTGCCATTGACTTTTATGGAAAATAATAATAGAATGATTCATTGCAGCTGACCTCTAACAGTATTCTTAATGATCTGCTAAATCTATACGTTGATTTTTCTAAACAAAACGGTTATACAGCTTCAAAAGCAACAAATTTGTGCTTCAAAGCTCAAGGATTGATAAATACATCATACAGAACCCTGCAAAACATATTAATCACAATTTATCTTTAAGCAAAGTGAAAAACAGGAGATTGATACTTGCTTTGTAGTCTCAATGATGAGGCTTGGATTCTTAGAAAAAATTGGCTTGATATCTTCGGTTAGTAGATGCACCATGCTAAAAAGCAGAAAATGAGATGTTTTGCTCAAAAGGAGAATGAGGAAGTGTCCTTAACAGGAACATGGGGTCAAAAATGTCCAATCATACTGCAAAGGGTTTGAAGAATCAATGATTGATGGAGGATGCTAATACTTGAATAAATAAAATTGAGTGTAAATATCTAAAGCGTTTGATTTGAAAAAATGTAGACATTAGGTTATGTAGAGAATCAACAGATAATTTCAAGGTAAAAATTCTCTTTGTGACGATGCGTAAACAAGCTACAAATTTAGGGAGTATACAAATAACACTGAATTAAGTTCTTCAGATTGAAACAATATTTCGTTCGGAGTATCTTATAGACCTTTAGATAATAACTGGCCATGTTGAAGCCCTAAATTTTGTAATGAGTTGGTGATTTATTTTGCAATAAAACAGCAAAATTTAGTACCTAACGTAACTGCCAAAACTGTGAAAAATCTACTTAGAAATATTTCGAAAAAGGTTAAGATTTTGTGAAGAATTAGTTATAAATAAAGAAGTCTTTATACTAGAAGTAACATCGGCGAACAGATATTAAACCATGGGGGACAACTGAAATGCTTAGGAAAAATAACCCGACACGAAAGCGTACAAAGTCTCCATTAAAGGAAGAGAAAATGGCAAAAATTTGAGAGGTAGAGAAAGACTTGGCATCTTTGGTCAGTAATAAACGACCCTTCTACGATCTTCAAGAGCAAAGACGTGATTTTTGAATTAAATTACGACGAAACCCGCAATTAAGGCAGAATACAAAAAAGGGGAGCTTGCACTAATAATATTTGCAACGTAAATCTTCTAAATAAAAAAAAAGTTTCAGTTTATTTTTCAAGTTATGAACTTAGTAAATCCCACCTGTTGGATAGGAAAATAACGTCGAAAAGGCCTTTATACTTCGATTTGCGTGAAAGATCGGGAACAGAACCAAGTGGCAGGAAAGTAATTTTTACATCTTCCATGCTGTCATACTCTGGAAAAACCGAACATTTTTAAAGACACATGATTGATTGAATGTCAGTTTAGTACTCTACTTGAAGGAGCCAAAATGCTCCGATTTTTAAGAAAACTCACAAATATTCAAAAATAAAGCTGTAAAATTCGTCTAGTCAGAATAAATTGACCATTGATAGTGTAAAGGGCTTTAGGAAACCGAAAAAGATACCACTTTATAGAACACAACATATTTAATTCATTTTCCTCGTTCTGAATATCCAGGAGATATAAATATCTTTGTTATCGTCATCCTTCACAATTTTAGGCCTAATATAGCTAGGCAAAACAGAAATAACACGCTTTATGTTCACCTAAGAAAATCACAAACTATTGAGAGAAAGGATTGATGCTAACACCAAATGAGTAGCATTTAATGAATAATTTCGAATGATTTTGTATTCCAGACTATTTCTTCCAGGAAAATTCTTAGCACCACATAGTTATGTGTTCACCCATGGAATATTAACGCCTCTCAAGGTGTTTCTTTAAAACTTACTTCTTTCTTAAAGAGAAATCATTTCAAAAAGACAGTGACACACCAAATAAAAACTTATTTGGGTGATAGAGAGGACATTGCAATATTTTCTTAGAATAGTTCTGTTTATTAGATTATATGGAGGATTCAAACCATTTCGAAACTCGTTGTGCCAATTTTCGTTCTTAGTTGAATTTGATTTAAATAACAAAAATCATATAGAAATAATATCTTTTTTTAAATTTTGCATTAAGAAGTCAACAAGGTCATCGTAGACTGCAATTCAAATATCAGCCTCCATATGATCTTTTAATCCATATAAAATGTTTAAAAGACTATTCTAGACTCGAATACTTTTCTTACTTGGTGTAGCTATTCCATCTGAACTTGGTTTCTGCTCCCCAGCTTTTGCTTCAGATTTCTCTGCATCTTCTGTTTCTTCTTTCACTTCACTAAGCTCCGATCTTGGAGACAGTTTCTTGGTCATATTTGAATTTTTTAAAGGACATAAGCTGTACGCCTCCCCAGTCATCATCTCATAAATCCAGGCTGTGACGTTGTGTTCTGTAACGTTTGTTGCTGTCTAGAAGTAGAACATTAGCTGTTATACCTTGTGAAGGCACTTTACACAAGGAATGAAAGCCAAGGCCATCGAGCTGCAGCCACACGTCTTTCGGTAACTTGGGGAAATATTCCTGTTTTTAGTACAGCTGTATGACTCTAATACTATTGGGGAATCCCTGTTTACAAAGTATTTTCATGTCCCACACCTCACCCTTGTCAATCATAGCGATAAAGCTACGTAGGCCTTCTCTGCCAGGTCGATCCAATATTTGTACGCCAGTTGTAGAATGACTCCATGGGCATTTTCGAGCAAAATAATGAGAATTTCACATACCATTATATTTTGCTTGTTCATGACATTAGCTTAGAACGTTGCTTTAATCCATGTCCCATACCAAAACAGAATTTCACTCTACATACCTTGACATATATATCGTTGTTTTTCTTAAATAGTGACTTCTCTTCACTCTCGATCCCATATGACAAGTAGGGGCTATTTACTACGTCACCCCAGTAGCCTCGTCTTGCGAATTTTTCTCCATCCTTTTAAGATAACACATATTTCTATATTATTTCAATATACATCAAATGCATGTCGGGAAGTGATTAAGGCCAGCATGCCCAAATACATTGGAATAGCGAGCATAATAACTAAAACTGCTGACAAATGCAGAAATAAATCAATGTCATTTGATTGGTTCAGACCAAACTACTTGTGCCTTGATTGGCTCAGACCAAACTACTTGTGCCTTGATTGGTTCAGAACAAGCTACTGGTGCCTTGATTGGTTTAGATCGAGTTACATCCCCTTGAACATGTTATTCTTCCCATTTTTAAAGAAGAAAAACAAAAATTTCTAGAACAAATTCTAGAACTTTTCTAAACTTCTTTAAATGAAAAGTGTATGTACATTTGATCTAATATCACAGTGTTGCTTAATATCAATATTCTAGGATTGCTAATGATTGACTGATAAACACTTCGTTTGAAAGAATCAACATTGTAGGAGAAAGAGAAAGAACATAGCAACAGCGTTGATGACTTGGAGAGGTTGTTAAATCCTGGGGTTGTCAACTTTTGAACCTGAATATTATGGTTTTCCAACTATTTTAGCAAGGATTTTAAAACAGGTGCTAATCTAGGAAAATCTCTGACGTATGCTTAGGTAGTAAGTAAAAGGGGGGTCCGGGGCATTACCCCGGAAAAAAGTCTGGATCTACACCTGAACAAACTGCTTGTTCTGCAAGCCCAATCAGCAAAGCTCTTTTTTTGTAAAACTGTGCATCGCCCAAAAGTGATTATTTGAAATGTAAATACCTTCTTAATTACTATTCCAGACGCCAACGTTCTATTTGGAACTTCATATGAAGAGTCGTCTCTAAGTTCAAAAGCAACACCACTCTCTCTCCATGTTTTATATTCTCTGAAGTTGATTATTGGGGCCTAGATAGAAAAATTGTAAATTTACTGTTAATTCAAGAGTTTATCGAGCAGGTAAAAATTTTAATAAACTCTTAGGTTCTTTAAGCTTTCTAACGATGGCAGTAACAAACGTGTTTTATAAAAATATAATAAACACATTCAATGTTAAAAGTTGATTCAGTGAGGTTAATTTACGACCTAAGATAGTAATATTGTCTATAAAGTATTAAAATACCAAATTATATCTATAATCATAATTTGTGTATTCAAAGAATTGTAGCGGCACGTGTGGGAGAACGCACAACTGATAAAGTCATAACCTTTTCTTTTAATTTCATTGTGTAATCCCAGTCGTACACGTTGATTCTGCTATCATATCGAGTGCTTAGGTGCTGACGGATTCGTTGCTCCCTGCATAGGACAAGAAAACAAACTGACTTGGTTAATGGGAGAGAGTGGGCTGAACACGCTCAGATGGATAGCCATGATGTCTAACAACAGATCTTCAAACAGCATTTTCGAATACACGTGTTTAACTTATAAGAAATTGGTTTATAAGAAACTAATGCTAGGATGCCCAAAATTTCAGAAACTTCGTTACTAGGCCCAAGAAAAATAAAGAAACTTTCATTTTAAAATTTCCATTTTTATAAAAAGAGTCCAAAAGTTTTAATTTTTATTGATTTCCTTTGAAAAGACAGCATTTTTTTGCATTTTGATCTGCATGGGCTTTTCGTGACGATCTGCGTTTATGTATGCGGTCTGCGTGACGATCTGCGTTTATGTATGCGGTCTGCGTGACGATCTGCGTTCCAAAAATGCTCAACTTCAAAACAATAAGCCAACTTTGAAGCCGAAGTAAGAAACCAACTAAGAAACTTTTAGTACTAGAACGCCAAAGTTAAGATGTCAAACTTTGAGCACTTAGTGCTGGTCCAAGTTTCTTATAAAATAAACATGTGTACCTCAATATTAAGGCAGTCGCCATTTTTTGGCTAAAATATTTATGCTGTGGTACTTACTCACTACATGTAACAATAAAATGTCGTATATGCTGTCCAAAAAAAGAAACATCTAATAGGCTTATCCTGTCAGAAATGTGCAAAGAAACGAACATAAAATAGACTTCAAGCCAATGTACTAATCTTACATTATCTGCTCTACAACCACCCTCCCCTCTTCCCTACAAAATTCTAACAACTTCAAAACACCTATAGTGTCACCACAGGTATGAAAATACAAGCACATATGCAGTTGAATCCACCATGGCTGAATGCAACATTTACGTTGTAAACAAAAATAGCTGATGATGCATACTTAAATTTGAGGATTGCCAACTTCCAGGCGTTAACAGCCTCCTACATTATTAATGTTGCTTTTGAACGTTTCTCCACCCACTTAAAAATGCTTAACATCTTATATAGAGATACTGGTTTATTGTTTATTATTGTTTGATTATAGAGTACACATTAAAACATACAAAGACGAAAGAAATCTCACCAAAGTGCTGGTATGTCAAAATACTTCTGCTCTACATTTTTCCAGAATTTGAAAATCCCTTCTAGCATGTCCCTCTCTTTGAACTGTTCTTCAATAGAAACGAACTCATTTAAATTCAAAGTAGGAAAAGGGGGGATGTCTCAAAAATTTCAAACTTATAACAAATCTTTCTCGTAAGCTTTAAGGACATAACAGTTATAGAAGGATAAAATGCTGACAATTGTCTAAAAATAAAAACACGAAGTAGTATTTATAATTTCAAAGCTATATGTTTATTAACATTAGCCAATGAGAAAGTTCCGCTTTAGTTTCAGTAACTATTACTTGTCATTCTCAACAAATCAACTTTCGGTTAGATCGACTCAATCGATGCTTAAATTTGTCTACCAATGGTGTAGATTTACGCATGATTGAAATAATACCAAAAAATAGTTACATATTACCTTCAAACTTGATAAATCCAAGAAAGGCAGATTTTGTTCCAAATATTCGGGACTGGTGACAAACCTGCAATCGATAGGAAAAACGAAGAAACTGAGTCGTTTGACGAATAGGCCAATAACACAAATAACTTTTCTTCATTTGTATTTTAAATGATGGCAGATATAAGGAAACATAAACATTAGGATAGATTCTCAATTACATTAAAAAATAGACAATAAAATAGAAAACATTTTAAAACATACTGAAGCTTTACGTCTGACACCCTTCAGAGGACAAAATGCAGAACATATATCGAAAACTCTAAGCTAGAAAATATTCGCCAAAAGAGCATCTAAATCGTCCCCAAAGATAAATTCTTCACCAACACCACAAGCAAACGCCATGTTCACAATTCAATGTGCACGTAGGAGACTAGGTACAAGTTAGCATCAACATTGGAAAGCAAACAATAGCTGAATTCAAAAGACAGTTGTTCAATTCCAGACTATCCTTTTCTTATGACTATGGTCCAAGGGTAAAACGAAATCCCATAGTCTAAACAATATTGGTTTTTCCACTTTTTTATAGACGGATTCTAAAACTTCTAGGGGGAGAATGACCATGCTCTGTCAATAATGAAAAACATTATAGCTTCTTGGCATAATTTGGGTTTTCTAACAAATGCGGCGCGATTTCAATTAACTTTCAAAATTTATTCAGTTAACTCCTAAATTATTGCTGAATATCAGTCAAATCAATCTAAAACAAAGCCATTATCAACGGCCGCTACCACTGCATCAATAGACTTTGCTGCATCCAAGCTCGATTCTCCGATTCACTAAAATAAATGCTTCAAGGGGAAATTTATCATGAAAACAGGCTTCCTAAAATTTTGCTACTGTAATCGTTGATAACTTAATGTTATTGAAGATTTTTCAAAGGTAAAAAATCTTGAAAATGATTTTGGTGAATTGAAACGTTATCCTTTTTCTGTAGCATTTTCTATGGATCCAGAACAAAGTATAAAAAATGGTGGAAGAAATTCACATAAGGCAGCATCAAATAAATAAATTCGTGAAATTTTGATTTTTAAAAAAGAGGGAGATTTCGCAAACACTGCTTTGGTATTATTTAAGATATGTAAAGAGCAAAACTTCTAAAGAACTGAAAATTTGTGTCCTTGTAGATACCCTTCTTGAGTTTCTTTAATCAAGTGGGATAACACAGGGCATCAAAATTTTCTTGAACTGGCTGGGAAAATGATCCTTATACAGGCCTGTTAAACATATTTTAGTGCCCCTCAAGGGGATGAACTGAACTTTCGAAGGGGCAACTTAAGACTGACTGGGGATAACAGCCAAATGCCAGCTTGCCGAGGTTGAGGGGAAATGGAAAAATGGCTTGGTCATCAAATTTCTCGAAATTGGATGTGCAGAAAGAGGAAATTTCTAGCCAGAAATTAATTTCGAGCATGGAGTTTCAAGTACATCCTTTTTTGTAGGTTTTTATATTGAATTGATAAGAAATTGCGCTAGCAATAACAGCTTGAGAAGGTGTTTCCAATCCTGGCATTGTCATCATTCAAATTGGCACATTGCGATGTACAAGCTATATTTGGTAGGAATTGTAGCTTTGAAACTTAAGCATGATTATCATCTAAATATGTCAAATGCAATAAAAACAAATACCGTATCAGATCTGTACACCTGTGTTTTAAAAACTCATCTGTCTTTGGACGCATCAATGAATTTCCAAACAGTTCAATAAATAGTTCTACTTTCTCTAAAAGTGAAAAAAAGAAAATATAAAAATTTCAGCTGTAACGATGCCAAACTTATAAAAAAACAAGATATTGATATCGAATAAAACTAAGTATAGATATAACTTTCTAAGGATAGCTCTCATCAAATTTCTTTACAAATTATGCTGGAATTGTGAATAAAACGAATCTGTTTATATAGCTATAAACAAACTATTTAGTCCAATAGTTCAACCGAAGAAAACTACAATCATAGAACAGGCCATTTGATTTACACCGATTTCCCTCATTTTCAAGAACTTTGCTTTTTCATTTTACGACTGAGGTTTTACTAAAAGCTATAAAAAAGATGGATATAAAATTTGTCATTTATAATGACACGCACACAATAAACCCACACTTAAAAGACAAACCACCCAAAACTTAAAGCCCATTTTTTTCAAATACAGATTTTTTGAAGTTATTCTTAATTTTTTTAATCAAGTTTTTAGCATTTCATCTTAGATTTCTGTGCAGCTAATTATTGTTCGCTCTAAGGGTGTAATCAGTCATCTATTTTGAATGCCAATCAATCATGTCTTGCAATTTCTGCAGTAATATTGATTTTTCATACTTTATTATTACTCAATTTATCTTTATTCAAACAAACATGTCTCCATTATCATTTTTTATTTTAGATTATTTCAATTTCGATGATTCGAGCAAATTTTGCTTCCCATTGCAAGTGTTATCTATCAGGTGCTTATTATTCACGATAATTGTTTCTCAAAGATAAAAATAATTTACCTTTCAACCCCAAAGAATCTTTTGATTCGAAAATGATGGAAATAAACAGCATTTGCCTTGCAATTACTTCGAGATTGTTTTCCACAACAAAGAACTGAAATTAATATTAATAGATCTATAAAAACAGCAGTATAAATTAATGATAATTACTAATTACTGGTTTGTGATAAAGTGTTTGATGCCGTGTAGACAAAGCTGTAAACGCTATTTGGTGTAAAGAACAGGACAGTTCTAAATTGCAACTCCGAGTTTCACGCTTAATGCAATCATCAGACAATCGATCATCAGGAAGGTCATTTGGCCTGTTCTATACAAAAAAGAGCAATATAAATTCATAAATTAGCACTAAGATTTTTGACCCAGTAAAGGCATTTTCTAACTTAATTTAATCGAAAATATTTTAAGGCAGTAGCCTCCTAATACGGTCATGTATAAAGACTTTTTCAATTTGCACACAAAAACGTAATCAATTGCAAGTTGAAGGGCAATATATTAAATCAAATATATGATTCATGAAAAATAAAAATAGCATAAAATTACAATAAATTGCGATAATGTAGTACTTTGTATCAAGTGGATATAAGAGTCTTGCAAATATAATTTGTTTCGAAAATAAAAAGCAAATGGAGAATAGCAAGGAAATTATACCTGCAACTTGCTATTTTTGTGTCGTCTTCTTAGGGCACATGTTTTTAGAATATGTCGAAGATCAGCTGCACCAATCAAAAGGACACTAAGTGCATCTAGTGAGAATATTTAGCAGTATTAATAATTCTTGTCTTTTAAAGACAAGAATAGAGTAAGCTTGATTTTTTTGTGTAATAAACCTGCATTAATAAATGATCAGGAATATGGATCTTTGAGTAGGTCCATATATTCTAATGAAAAACTGGCTTGCATCGAATGATGTGCAAAGAACATCAAACCTTTATTTGATATGTTTGACTCTATATAGATTTCTAGTAACAAAATAGTATTTGAAAAACTTCTCAATAATTGATGCTTCCAAACAAGGGAGAAATTATTTTGACTAATCTTTGATCTTTTCAGCACAAAAAGCCTTGCACAAGTAATACCTGAACAGCGGATATATTTTGTTAATGGGCACTACCTTTTTTCAATCAGTTGTCCATTAAAAGGAAGTTATCATATTCAGCATTGATTATAAAAAATGAGGCTTTAAGTTCAAAGAAAACTGGAACATTTTCAACAGGAAAGATGGGTGGTGTTGAAGTTTGTAAAAAGGGAGAAGACAATGCAGGTATTGTTGCTAAAACAGAATTGCATGTGAAATGAAATCGAATATAGGCAGATGCCCTGTTTTTTCATGTCAAGAATTAATAAAACATGTCACCTAGTTCATTTCCTGTACTTACAATATTCCTGCATAGCTATAAAATGACAGCTATAAACTTTCCATGTGAATATAGAAGAAGAAGAAGATGCTAAACTTTCTGGCAATATATTATAACTTTATTGAGATAGAAATGCCCATGTGAAATCTAAAATGCAATATGTTTTGCCTAAATAGGGGCTGTGGCCCTCCCAGTCCATATATCTCCTAGGCAGGTGAACAGGCCCTAATCCATATTTACTGCCCACAAAAGCATTTGCTTATTCAGATGTCTTCACAGGAGCTTTTCTTGCTAGCAATAGATTATTTCGGGAGTGGCCAATCTTGGACCACATGTAGAGCAGATTATGTTTTTTTGCAAATAGAAAAGCTGCAAATTGTCTAAGGCAAGATAATTTTTGGAAAACACACTTAATAAAAGCACATTGTTTTGGTTCTATTCAAGAAGGAATAGGAAGCTATAGCTTAGAATACAAAAGATGAAACAGTAGATGCTTTAAGGAAGATGTGAATACCTGAGGCAAATACTGGGAAGAAATTTGAATAATTTTCAATAAGGATAAGGAAGGCAGAGGCAGCTAGTGAATAGGTCGACAAAAAATCTCACAATCATACAAATGACATCAGAATATGGCCTTTGGTGTAGGTGGCCATTATCGATGCTTTGTGTGGGCACAGATGTATGCATTCTACAAGGCTGAGGAAGGCGGAGGCAATTAGTGAATAGGGCTACAATGGAAACACATCATTGAACAAAACAGAAACATCAGAATATGGACTTTTGTGTATGTGGACCTTTTTAATGCTTAGTGTGGGAGTGAATGTCTGCACTCTACAAGGCTGAGGAAGGGGGAGGCAATTAAGAAAAAAGGCTAGAATGGAAACACATCATTGCACAAAACAAAAACATCAGAAGATGGCCTTTTGTGTATGTGGTCCTTTTTAATGCTTAGTGTGGGAGTGAATGTCTGCACTCTACAAGGCTGAGGAAGGGGAGGCAATTAGTGAATATGGTATTGACGTATGCATTCTACGAAAAATTGTCCTACACATTACAAGACTAGTATCTGTGAAGCTAAGAAGTATCTAGAGTTTCACTCATGTAATAACTTATAAGTCCTCACTATGCAAGCCTTGCTATGTTGACATGGTTGCATAAATTTCTGCCTAATTCAGTTCTCATCAAAACTGATTACTATTTGTAGCACAAAGCATCAATTAACTTGGCATTATCATAAAATTTGTAATCATTACCACTATCATCTGATGGTTTTCTGGATACTTGCAATTCCTTCATATGACTACAAAGACCTGATGAGGAAACAAAAGGACTTTAAAACATCTATAACAAAATCTTTCTACAATAAAAACATTTAAAAACAATAAAATCATTAATGTTTGTGCAAGTGAACAATTATTGCTAGAATTTTCTTGCTTTGATGCAAAATTGTTATATAGCATAGGATTTTTTATTAATATTTTTTTGCTGTATGGCCAAGAGTAACATTAAGCCCAACAGTTGGAGCACCTGACTGAGTACTGAAGGTTTAACTTTAACTCTGTCATTTGACTCCTGTCATCCGAGCAGAAAATGGATACAAAATAGCAAGGCTATATGACTTAGGGAAAGGAACAGGCCACACTAACTTATCATGCTGCTTGCTGATGAAAAATTCAGGGGCTGCAAGGCGAGTTGTCTAGAAAGCTATACAAGATGGATCTGTTGAGAATCTATCGAATTTTTGCTGTCTAAAACTAAATTAAAAAAACTTAGAAGAATGGCAAGCAGCTTTTAACTGACATAGCATATGTTAACAACTTGTAAACTTAGACAATTGGACCTCATCCAAATTCTAACTAAATTTGTATTACAATTTAATCAAGGCAGGCTGTTCAACACTGGAATAACCGGAAAAAGAAGAAAACTTCACTTAATGGACTCATCCAAATTCTGGGAAATTTTTTCAGCGTTGAATTTCTTGTCATTTTGTACATTCAAAGCAACCTGATCAGTGAACAATTTATGAGCATACTTTAATCCGCACATTAATCTATATGATGCATAAACTTTTCGTCTAAATTTGGCATAGGCTCATTCAATTTTGTAAAATTTTTACTGAAATCCATTTCAGATTTAATTTGCTTGAATCCAACTTTTTTTCTTGGGACAACTGCACTTTAGCAACCAATTTTTTTGTTTCCTGGTCAGTAGTTGAACTGAATCTGATTATCACAAACCTTTAAATCTAGCCTGGTTTCTGAAACAATCAAAAGTTCGAATCACAGAAGCTCAGCCAGTTAAGGCCAGACTGAAAACTTTGTTTCTTGCACGGGCAAGTTCTCGTGCCTGACTTCACAACTCTGCGCCTGAAATCACATTCTTTTGAGAAATTTGTATTGTTATTAATGTGGAAACATCAGTTTCAAAATCAGTTTGGATGACTTCGTTCTTTGATTTTTTTGCTGTCTTGGGGGCTACTGCCCCCAAACCCCCATTAATTCATCATCAATTGATTCATTTTATATTCCATATGCAGTTATGAAAGAATGTCTTCGTTTGGTCAAATCTTCATCCTCACTGTTGCTTGCATCATCGTTGCCAGGTTGAAGCAATTCAATTTCTATTTCTTTTTCTAGAAGATTCCATCCAGGAAACAAAAAAGTGGGATGCTAAACAGCAGCCTAGCCCTTTTCCTTTACTCAAAACAACCATTTTTTTCTTTTCTATTCCATTTTTTCCGTCCATACTAATTTTTCAAAAAATGGTTTTCTCAAAGTTTTGCTACTTTTTTACCAATGCATTCAAAAGACTTATCTTTTGCTCAGTCATAAATATGAAATGAAAACTTTTCTCGAAACTTTTTTGGTTGGAGAGGATTCTTTTTCAGAGATTTTTACGAATCATTCAAATCAAATCAAATCAAATCAAATCAAAACTTTTTTTCAGCAACAAATCAATTAATTACAAGATACGTCATGCTAGTTGTTCAGATACAATCATTAAAAACAATAAAGATAACATTACAGGGAACAACATAAGATATTTATAAGATCAGCTGATGGACACAAGGAAAAAACGCATGAAGGAGCTATCAGAGCCATGTGATGTGCCCAGTTTGACGTGAAATGACGATAGTTTAATATAAGTTTTGTTTGAATAATAACAGTAAGAGTCAAAAAATAACAATTAAAAAAAAAAGAAAAACAGAAATCAAATAATAATGGTTTACAATATGCACAAATAGTTAAATTGTGTTAGAATGGAATAAATAGGACTAAAGGTTCTCTAGAAAGTAATTTTTCATGTTTCTTCATTCTAGCATTATTTGCATAATTGAAACTGTTCAGTTCAGTTTTATATTTTAACGAGCATGACATCAGCAAATCCTCTATTTAGCAAACATTTTTTCTTGTTATTCTTACCTTGTTCTTGCAGATCCAGCGCGGGGCTAAAACCCCACCAGGTAATCGCGCCGTAAGCATCCACCATTTTGGCCTAAAATTGAGGAAGCAAAGCGAAGTTGCTGTTGTTGTAGAGGAACCTGCTAAGTTCCCATGGCAACTTTTCAAGATGCGATTGCCCAATCATCTTGACATGGTAAATTCTGCTCCAGAGTAAAGATTTTTCTCTAGATCTACTCAAATTATTGCTCCGATCACTAATCTGTAAAAGTGGGGTGAAATATATAATGCTGGTTAAGTAAGTCCTGTTATTCAAGTTTGTAACGATGCGAAATCAATGAGAGAGGTAGAGGCAAACGAGCAGCTGAACAGCGGAGGTTGGTTAACTAGGCCGATTGAGTAAAACACTTTATTATCGCATGTCAGTGCAATATTGTACTGGCGATCTTGGCCTAAACTGGTAGAGAAAAGGTAATGGAGCAATTTTTTGTGGTTTTTATTTCAGATAAGTTGGATGCTGACAAATAACAATAACAAAATTTTGACGACAGTTTAGTGTTTAGGTAGGCCTATTCCAGTTTTAGGTATAAAAATTGTCAAAAAGGACTTGGTTGGGCAAAGTGTTTAAGAAATCTAATTTTTCATGTTTGATTTGACAAATTTTTTTTCTCTCGCTTGCAGAAAAAATATGAAAGTTGCAATTTAACATTGGCATCAAAACTTACTTGTTGTGGGCACGAAGTTTTAACAACTTCTAATTTTATAACAATAACTTTGATAACTAAATGTTATCAATGATCAAGGAAAAAATTTTCTATTTTTTTAAAATTAATTCTTCGTGAATTAATTTTTATATGCTATCTAATTTTTTGTTATAGCGATTGTAAGCAATGTTTCTTCACAATTATGGTACCAGCTCCTCGCTAGAATCTCGGTAAATGCCTGTAACTTGGTTTTAATAACAAATAAAAGGAAACTTATTTATTTTTGGCTGATGTCACTGTCTATTGATTATGGATTAGGATTTCCATCATGAGTCAGATTGGCCAATTACACAAAGATAAAAAAGGTAGAAAAAAATTAGAAAAGATAAAAAGGATTAATAAACCATGATAAAAGAAAGATAACCATCAAATTCAATACTGCTTTGTGATTTATCAAATATATAAGGTATTTCATTTCAAACAAAGAGTCTTCAAAGCTCTTTTCTTGGCTGTCAATCCCCCATATTACTTGTAAAGACCTGCTTTTCACAAGTTGCTTTATAACATAGAGGCTGATATTGTATATTCATGTGAAATGACCTTTTTCAAGAAAAAATATTATAAAGGTAATCAATTCATGCAGTAAATATCTAGCCAGGGTTTATATTCGCTTTATCATTCTTACCAATATAATTTGTTGAACCATTCTCTATGTTGAAAAATCACAAAGCATTAACTCAGATGTTTCAAAAACTCCTTATTTTGAATAAGTCTCCTTTTCCATCTTCCTAAAGCATCTGTTGAACTGTGAGTTTTTAATAAGTTACCTGCTGGGGCTCAATCAAATTGTTACAGTGCAAAGACAAAATTAAGTTTATGCACTCCCAATCTACAAATCGAGGAGGGGTCACAAAACTTTTCCCAATTGATAAAATAACACAAGAGAAGCAAGAAGTGGTAAACAGACGAACAGGGATAATGAGCATTTAAAATAAACATCAAATGATATTCAAGAAACCAAATAAGATCAATCTTTAATCTAGTAAAGTTATTGACTAACTATACGAACCAGGATTAGCTATAGAACGCACTTTCTCAGGTAGCAGTGCCTCATTCAGATGCCTTCAATGTTCTGACATTTCACATTGTTACAATAAAAGATGCAAAAGCACCCAGTTTTGTGACAGAAGCAAACTGAAATGGTTCTGCTGATGTAAGTGGGATTGTCACAATATCCCAAATAAGGCTGGCTAGCTTCCCTCACACCAGAGCTGGTCTGGATCTGCTGTTTTCACAATGAAATTAACCATAATAAACCAACAAAAAGTTTTTTGTATGTTAATAAAGGAGAGGCTACAATAGCAGGCTGCTCGATTGACTCTGATGGAAATCTAGTGGTGAAAAATCAATTAAATAGTTGTAAATAAGTAACACCACAACACGATGAGAATGAACAACAACAAACACACATAAATCAGTTATGGCTGAACACATATAAATCAGCCATATTTGACAAATAAGCTTTTTACTGTTTGACTGATTGGATGATTATAACCATGTTGATTATATGTGTGTAGTGGGTTTTTGCTAATACAAATTCTTCGCCAAATGTTTAAAATTACATTTGGGAAGTACAGTTTTTGAAGCATCACACAACATCAAACAAAGTTGACTTGTGAGGAAAGGACCCAGGTTTGCATCCAGTTTCCATGGCTAAATTCTTTCATATAATCAGGCTATCAAACCTGTCATACCACTGTGGAAATTCTGCAGGTTTTTATTGAAAATTTAATAACAGCAATCTGTTGAAATAGCACCAGCTAATGAAATATTAATGCAATTGCTATGAAAATGCAGAGTTTTCTTGTGTTCTTTTTGCTGATTCATTACATTTGATAAATGCTTATCACAGCATGTTTAGGATAATTTGACATATGGTGAAAGAAACAAACTTTATTTTGTGCACAGTTCCTCAGTAAGAGCAAGGGCTGCAGGGGCTTAGGGGCTTAGGCTCTCCAGCTTTCGAGGGCTTAGGGGCTGCTGCTGTCTAGCTTTGCAGGTGTTTAGGGGCTGGGGCTATCTAGCTTTGCAGGGGCTGGGGCTATCCAGCTTTGCAGGGGCTTAGGGTTGGGGCTATGTAGCTTTGCAGAGGCTTATGGACTGAAAAAGATATTTTTCATCTTTGCTTTTATTGATATTATTCTTTAAACTTCTAGGGGCTTTAGTATTTACACTGAGAAAATGGGCAAACTAGCTGTCCCAGAGCTGTACTAATTCTTTGTGACTTGAAGATGAAACCTTCAGGTTTAATTGTATCACATCCACTTACAATTATAGGCCTAACTTCAATGCCTGTTATTTTATATAATACAATCAATACAATGCAAAATATATGCATTGTGTTGTATTGTGGTATACACTGCCATGAAGGATATATCTATTAATAACAATAGTCCTGCATGCTTTAAATGTTATTTTTTCCTCGGGTTCAGCTGTTCTTAATTTTTTACTAATTTTGAGACTTGTGTTGTCAAATTTTTCTTTTAATAAAGACTGCACTTTTGACTTTATTATAAACACCTTTTTCAACTTTCGGTTTTACCCCCTTACAAAGAATCCTTTCATCAGTACTGAACATCCACCTCCCCTAAACATTTATAGGCTTTATAAAAATTGCAATGTTGATATTAGCTCTGTTAGCACAAAAACTGTACATTTTGTGCTTCACAGCAAAATTTTATAAGTGAAAAAATTATAGAAAATTCAATTATTCGTGGTTCATCAAAACTCTTTAAAAATTTCGCCCTAAGCAGATGTGTCCAAACTTAAGGAGCTGTTAATTAAGAATAAAGTATCTTAAGCAGGTTTATCACAAAGTATTGCCAACTCTGAAAAAATAGGCAAAAAAAAACAAAACATAAACCAAACAATACACCACTCTACAACAAATACGCTAAATCCCAGTACAGGTTGCCGCAACTAAGTTTGAATAGCATCGTTATATTCAAAATGTATTTATGTACTATCTTAAGGTCGTTTTAAGGATTTCTGAATTGGATCTACAGTCAACCTTTCATCACCATACAGTATCACAACGACTGCGGAGCATATTACAGATAGAGGGAGCTAAAACGTTTTTTAAAGGGGCTAAACACGCTAAAAACAAAATCAGTGAAGATTTTTGTATGATTTTAAGTATATTTTGGAAATTATTTGGGGGGTTAAGCCCTCTTGCCCCCCAACTACTTCTGCGTACCCTGCTGTATCTTTTGAAGTAATAAAGCGTTTGAAAGATTAGCAAACCATACAGGTGCAATGTTGTATTTACACTATCGAAAAGATTTCTCCTGTATGCGTCATAAGGATCTGTAAGTCTCATTACAGCCCTAAAATTTCATCCCCATTTTCCGTCAAATACTTAAAATTTCATAACAGTGCGGCCTAGAATATAAAATCATCTTCTAAAAAACTTTCTGGGAGTAGAAAACTGCAAACTCAGTTATATTTTGTACTGGGCGTAGTTATTTCTATGAAAGCGAAAAAATATTAAATTCAAGAACGCTTTGAAGAAACATTTTAAAGATTAAAATTCTATAATAATTGTATAACTTATATAGGACATTGTATTTTAATTTTAAACAGGGCTTCTCTTTATAGCGGCATGAATGCTAATTGAATCACCCTGTATAAATAATGTATTATCATTATTATTATTATTATCATTCTTATTATTATACATCCTTTTTAACTTTGGTTGTTTTTTTCTCAGTTTTTCCTTTTACCTTACGATTGTTATAGTTTTTTTATGTAAAACCAGGCTAGCCAATTGCAAATTACCTTGTAATAGTGAGATTTGTAATTGTAGTTTAGTTGAATTGAAAATGAAATGTTTCCATTATTATTATTATAACGGATTGTCAAAAGAATCAAGAAGTTAAGGAGAAAAATTATATGAATCGCGTTAATAAGTCTAACTCGTAATAAGCATGGCCAAACTTATCCACGTTTTGCCGGCAGGGTTCTTAGCTAATGATTTGAAGCCCCTCTTTCTCATTTACTCGTAGCAGCGGCCATAAAGATATCATTTTTCTTTCGTTTTCTAGGGTTTAGAAACTACAGCAAGTTTTTGCCCACAAAACTGAGACACGATGGCGGAAGCTGTCAAAGTAATTGTCCGGTGCAGGCCGATGAACGCCAGGGAGAAGAGTTTAAACTGCAAGGTTGTAGTGAAAATGGATCCGTCTATTGGTCAAGTCAGCATTATGAAACCGGATGCACCGGACCAGCCTCCGAAGTCATTCACATTTGACGGTGTTTACTTCATGGACAGTATCACAGAAAACATTTATAATGAGATCGTGTTTCCACTAGTTGAGGGTGTAATTGAAGGCTATAACGGAACAGTATTTGCTTATGGTCAGACCGGGTGCGGAAAATCATTTACGATGCAGGGAATAACAGACCCACCTTCCCAACGAGGTATAACTCCCCGTGCATTTGAACATATATTTGAAAGTGTGCAAACGGAGGATAATGCTAAATATTTGATTCATGCATCCTACTTAGAGATATATAACGAAGAGATAAAAGATCTAATGGGAAAGGACCATAAAGCGAAACTGGATATTAAGGAGCACCCGGATAAGGGAATTTATGTGAAAGACCTTACCATGGTACCGTGCCATAGTGTGGAAGATATGGACCGAGTTATGGAGCTCGGTGGTAAAAACAGACATGTTGGAGCGACACTGATGAATGCAGACTCATCTAGATCTCATTCTATCTTCACAATATTTGTTGAGACCTGCGAAACCGGACCGGATGGACAAGAACACATCCGGGCTGGCAAACTGAACTTGGTAGACTTGGCTGGTAGCGAAAGACAGGCAAAAACTGGTGCAGCCGGTACCAGACTGAAGGAAGCAACAAAAATCAATCTATCCCTCTCAGCGCTTGGAAATGTCATTTCGGCTCTGGTTGATGGAAAGGCAAAGCATATTCCCTATCGAGATTCAAAGTTAACCAGGTTGCTGCAGGTGATGCTTTTGTCGATAATTTGCGATTAAACTTGTAGAATTTGGATCTCAAGTATATTCACTATCTTTAGTATTCGGTTCGAGCAAGATAAAATAAGGAATTCTTTCAAAGTTCTTTATTTTATCTTGGTTCGAGTTTATCGACGTGGAATACATGGATAAAAACTTTCACGTTAGAATCACTTTATGATTATCAAACGATGAGTACCAGGCTCTCACTAGATATATTAATGTTTCCCTTGTTGGAATGGCCAAACTTAAAAAACGAATCTTAGCTCTTTCTACCGTATGTTTTTTTACAAAGAGGCTACCTCTGGTTTTGTAATAGTGGGCTCCTTGTCGATCTGTCTAAAATGATAACGGATTCAGCCGTCTACACGATAACATTTCCATCCCATACTGTATCAATCATTTTCTTTATCTCTTGCTGTATTCATTACATAGTCTTCATGTACACGGTAGGCAAAGGCAATACATGGTATAAATACAATATCGTGAAAACGGGGTCATTTCCAGTATTTGGTTTTCGTTAAAAGAAATCAAAATGAAACACAACCTATTCCATTTTCTTTAATAACTCTTAAAAACATTGGTTACATGTGTTTTAGGACTCTCTTGGAGGAAATACCAAAACACTCATGGCAAGCTGTATAAGTCCAGCTGATAATAACTACGATGAAACCCTGAGTACTTTACGTTATGCAAACAGAGCCAAGAACATCAAGAACAAACCAAAGATCAACGAAGACCCCAAAGATGCGCTGTTACGCCAATACCAAAGTGAAATCGATGTGCTTAAGAAGATGCTTATGGGTCAAATCGAAATCAGCCCAGACCTTCTAGGTGAGTTACGAGTTACTAGAGATTTTACGAGATTTTACGAGATTTTACGAAAGGTCGTAAAAATTTGTGACATCGTTAGCTGTTATCCGCTTCTAGAGTGTGTTACACACTTCTTATGAGAAACCTTTTAAGGAAAAAAAGAGACCATTTTGGAACTGCCAAATTGTTAGGAAATTCTCGATACTTGTTCTTTAACGCTAAGGAACTTTGCACAGAAAAGAAAACAATGCATTTACACATGCCTCAACGAAGAAAAATACAGCTTTTTCCCCTGCAGTATTTTTATCTTTGCTTCAACCCCTAAAGTTGAGAAACGTCTAAAACTCTCGCCTAGTCGACTTACGAACTTTAAATAAAAAACATTATAGAAATTTGGAGTAAAATATCTTATCAACTAACTTCTTCAATTTCTTATAAAACGTATATTGTGATTGTCAAGACATTGTCGACATATGCTCTTATTAAGCAATTATGTATTTATTATTTTACTTGGAAAGATTTTTATATAGGCTAAGGCTAACTTAATGCACATATTGTTTTATATTAAATCTTTGTTCCTAAGTTGTCAAAGTGTCAATGTTCATACGGTTATTGATCGAATAAACGAATAAAAATGAGAGCGCCACGGTCAAGCCCCGCATTGTTTTCTTTTTTCTTGAGTAAAGTTTTCCAAAGCTTGAGGAAATTGTCCAGAGGAAGATCTAACACTTTTCTGGACTGTTAGTTGTTCGAGTAATAATGGATTATTTTACAGCCTAATATTATTTTTTTGGTCTATTGAAGATTATTTTGACCAGTCTATGAATTTCATATACTTTTCATTCAGCAAGCCTTGGCATGGCCGACCAGGTCCCTTCAGCAGCTGTGCCATCTAGGCCTATGATAACACCAGCACCCCATCAGCCAGATAAAGAAACTGCCGAGAAAACCGACGCATTGGCTGCAGAGGCGGATAAAATTCGAAAAGAATACGATGAGAAGTTGAGTAACTTGCAGATGATGTATGAGAACGAGCAGTCAAGTAAACAGAAACTCCAAGAGGATCTCGATAAGCTCGAAAAGGAGTATTCAGAAAAGCTCGACAGAGTACAGGAGGAATATGACCATATGACTGAAGCAGAACAGATTATCAACGAGTTTGAGAAGCAAGGCGAGCCAGCGAAGGTCAAACCTCCTGATGAAAGTGAGGCTGCCGAGGATGGTGATGCGGATGGTGCTGAAACGATGGCAAAGGTGAGTGGAAGCGGTTTTACATGTTGTGGTTTGTATTTGGCGAAGAGGGACGACCTCAGTATATTTATTCTAAATTGCAATGACTATCCTGTTGACTCCATCTGTAACTAGATAAACGCACTCAGCATGATTAGATAATTCCATGGCATGGGTTTAACATCTATGTGGAATTCCATTTTCGATTGTTTGCAAAATACGTTATTGTCGCCTGTTGCCACGTTATTCCTGATTACAACCAAGCAATTGTAGCTTTGTTCTTCAGCCGTAAGTGAAACTCTTAATTTTTTAGTATAACTCTGTATAATCAAGGTTTAAGTTTCAAACTGCACTGAACACGTACCCCGCCAAGCAGTAAAGTTGCAATAACATAAAACATCGATTTGATAATTTTACTTATTTCAGTTGGAGGACGAAGAAGGCCAGGATGAAGGTGCAAAGGCATTTAAACCAAAAAAGGCGCATGCTCCTTCGCTCATACAGCAGATTCAAAAAGAGGCACAGAAAGTACAAACTGATGCATTGAAAGGAATCGGATCTTTGAAAAACAAGGTGAATTATCTGTTTTAGATATTTTTCTCATGCTTGATGCTAACAAAATTCAGCCCCAGTGAGTGGGCATATGCAATTCCTCTAAACAAAACTGTGCGTTTGATGACATTATTTTTAACAGAAGTAGGATTAAACTAAGAATTTGTAAATCTGAATGACATTGCTTTAAGAAATTTTCAAAAAATTCCGGTACTGTAAGGATTCCGTTTTCATATGTCAAATTGAAGTCGAATTTTCATATTAGGAAATATTCAAATCGTCGAAAGCTGTTCAAGTTATCAAAAGTTGTTCGATTTGCTATAAAATGATCTTCTAGTATCTGAGTATCATATGAATTCAGACAAGGGGATGTTCCGGAAAAACTGAGACAAGTCATACTTTTCAAATTTTTCAAGCTTTGATTCGTTTTCATCCAATGGGTTTCTTTCCATTGCGCATGGACTCCAATGTTTAAACTTGCATGTTTTTCAGGAGCATCCCTTACCAACAACAACAAATTTAGATTAGAAGCGATCTGTAACAGGCTTATAGCCTACATTACAGCTTTTGTTATGTTATGTTATGTTATGTTAGTGAACACTGCAAGTCAAGCAGAAACGAATTAGCAGTTATAAAGTGTAACTTTTTGGCTCGAATCAGCTAGGGTTCGATTAATTAAGCCGTCGAATTATCTCACTTTGAGTGTAGTTGCCCTAGTGATCTATTATGCATTCTTGAATTATGTCAGGATTCGAGGTTTCAACTCTAAGGTCTACCAAGCCAAAACCCAGACTTCTCATTATTGCGGGCAAGGTTGGAATTTCAGAGATATAAACCCGACCATTTAATGGGATTTCTAGGTTAAACTTAAACATACTATTCCCTGAGTTGACTTGCTATTTCTTACTTATTAGTAGCTTTTATCTGTTTTATCCAATAAACGAACATCTTTGTGGTTTCTGTGATTGGAAACATGATTGACTCCTGGTTTGGTACTTAGTGTGTAACGAGTAGTACTGCCCTTGACGAATGGTTTCTTCTTGTAGCTTTCTGGTTCACAGCAAGAGCTGGCTGTCTCAGTCAGCAAAAAAGACGGACAGATTTCAGATCCAGACTTCCATATGCCCGAGCAAAAAGATTCTGCGGTGGCACCAACAGGCGGGAAAATTGGAGCTGTTGCGCAGCAGCTTCAAGAAGAAGCCTTGCGACGTTTGCATAATTTGCAAGAGCAGCTAGTGGGCGGAGAGAAAAGCAATGATCAAACACTGAAAGAGAAACGAAAGGCACGGAAACAGTACGCGCTGTCAAACGGGAGAAAATGATGAAGGCTGTCGAAAAAATGGAAGATGATGGTATCATGGTTAAAGTTTACGATAATCTGCAAGATGAACTCAAAGTTAAAAACAAGAAGGTATGAATCGTTTTGCTTATCCTGCTTGCTATCTCGAGAAAAAGCCGTAGCACGTGTATATTAATTAGGGGGGGGGGGGCAAAAATTGGGGTCTAGATCATCCCGTCTGGATGCACGTAATGTGCTTTATTTCACATTGGTACTACAATATTATCCGATTTTATCTCAAAATTTTTTGAGAGGATATTTCGAAAAAATACACTTTAGTGTATAGATACTCTAGAGATTATTAGGAAAGTGACCCCATTTCCGCTATTACTTTGTCTATGATTTTAACTTATAAACTCTCTGACCTTAGTGAACTTGTAGTTTTCCCCGCCACTTTAAAGGTGCTCTTTTCACTGGTGCTTTTCTCTTAAAGATGCGCAACTACTGTTGTATGAGTTCTATAATGCTTCAAAAAATAAACATAGTGCGATAGTAAGAACTGTTTTGAGCGCACACAGTACCTACCCAAGAACACAAGAATGCAAGCAATGATCTATACTATCGTGACAAATCGTAACCGTCAATCACGTAAAGTAAGATTACGCTTATGTTCATCACGCAACTAGTTATTTCCAGTACTCTTCGCTTACCACCATATGCGCTATGTGTGTATTTTTCTTTTCTGAACAGATCGAGCAGCTCAATCAAGAACTTAAAGCTGCAGAAATAGAGACGGAAGATTTGCAGAGTGAGTTCGAGAGAGACAGGCAGGACTACTTAGACACGATTCGGAAAATGGAACAGACTATTCAGCTCCAGAAACAGATTATGGAGAAAATCCAGCCGTGTATACGCCGCGACTGTAATTACTACAACTATGACAAAATACGGAGCCAGTCTGAGTGGGATGAAGGTTTACAGAAATGGGTCATTCCGGATTTAATCGTAGAAAAAACAGTGCTTCCTGGTGGAGTCGCTCCAGGGGGGCGAGGTGGTCTTGTCGGACAAATGCCCCTACCTGTTAAGAAGTCTCCCATTGACTTGACAAACGGTGAAGTTCCTTTGAATTATTTTGAGTCAAATGAAGAGGACAAATTTCGAAAACATCTCGATAAAAACGCAAACGAAGACTTCTCCGCAACATATTTCAAATCCAAGAGAGCTGATAAGCTACTCCAAGCCTCTTCTTCAATTGAGCTGGTGCGAAAACGAGAAACAGATTCACAACAGAGAATTCGAAATCAAGAACCTGCAAGTCAAGTGAACGGGTCAATCACACCAACAGGAGGACTAAAAAACTCTTTACCTCGTAACCTCGAGCCAATTCCGAGGCCAATGAAATTGGAATCGTTGCCAGAAGCGGCATTTAAAAAGAAAAAGAAAAAGAAATAAGAAAACAATTGTTTTTAGAATTAATCATTTAGAAGGGAGGGAAGGAAATCATTTGATTTAGTATTTAACAGAGTAGGGTAGTTTTGCTAAATATTAATAGTTGATTTGTCCTGAAAACTTGAACTGTCGAGCTCTTTCTATTTAAATCTATATATGATTCATTAAAAGCTTTTTTGAAAATTTTCGAATAACGAAAATTTAAGCTTGGTGCTATTTAGAAACGATACAAGCCGTTGGTTTAGTAAAGAGTTGCAGTCGATTGACATAACCTCCAATGATACAATCAATATTTAGAATTCGTAGTTTTTTTTGCACTCTCAAAGAGAAAGATTTTTATCGTTTACTTTTCAAAAATCGTTAAGTTAGCCAGATAGAAGTTTACAGTGGAAGAAAGATGACCTTATTTTTCATCGTGATACACTTTATATCTACTTAGTTTGATGTAAATTCTCACTTATGTAACTACCTTATTTATGGATACGGTAAACATGCTTTTATCGCGAAATACTTTGTTTCTTTGCTTTTGTTGTCAACTTTTGTGAGGGAGCTATTGCATCCACGCCGATACGACTCAGTGGCAACGGGTGGGCTTGGAGACAAGGTCATTTGAACAATGGTATTTCGATTTCTGTGGCAACTTGAAAATATGCTAAGTTCTGGCACACGAAGATTAAGTATACGTTTTAAGCAATATCATCATCAAAAATTAGGAAAAGTGACGAAAAAAGAAATCGCGGTAAGCGATTCATATAAAATTCTTTGGGTAAGAAGACCAATAAAACGAAAAATTCCATGATAAGAAAACATTTGGTCGCATTGCCCCTACTATCAAAGAGAAAGAGGTTCAGATACTCCCTATATACCCCTAAACTATTGGGGACAAACGAGACAAAGATTGGGGATTGGGCGGATTTAACTTTTTTGCATGTATCCTTGGTACCTGCACAGTGGCAAAAATTGAGCCTTTTTGCGGCGTTCTCGAGGTTCCTTTTAGAGCGGCCTTTTCCTTTTATCAGATTTTATTTGGAGGTAAATTATCCGAGTCAGTTCGAGCTGAGGGTTCCATAACACCTGCAGATGTTCATGCAAAACATTTTCAAAAATTTGACACAAACATAATCGATGAATGAATTTTATCACGAAAACAAAAGATTTTTTATTTCCATCATGCCCGACAAGACAATGTATTCTTTCTTTTTCCAGTTTTACAAGTATGGACAATTTGTCGAGCATATTCATTGTTTCTGTTCTTTCTCCTTTTTAAAAATCGAAATATTACTACTTCGGTGTACTTTGGTGCAAACCATCAAAACATCATGGTGACGTCACAGGTCCACGATCGAAGCCTCTGCGCAATAAGCTGCTGCCAATGCGCGGCGTAAACGAAAATAATGGCGGCGTTAGGCCTAACTCACGATAAATAATAGTCTCTAAAAACATCGACAAATTTAGTTATGGACGATGCAAACAAAGGCAGCTTTGCCCTTTCAGGTGTAGATGCAAAGTTTCGTGCAAGGAATAGCGCTATTTTCAGTGGGTTATCTGATTTGGAAGAAAAACACGAACAAGAAGTTTCAAAAGATGACCCGTTCTCCGAAAATGTTCCAGTGAAGAGACAGCCCCGTAAACCGCAGAGAGTTCCACAGCATGTCTTGCATCCAGAAAAATGGACTGAATACTCTTTAGAAGAGGATGGAACACAGCAGCTGTGTAAAGAAGGGAAAATTGGGGACGAACTGAATAAAAATGTGGCGCTAAATTTTCTCGAAGATTTGCGCAAACGAAAAGAAGACGAGGATAAAAATTCTAGTGAAAATACTTCGAAGGACTTTGTAAATTGCTCTCCAAGCAGTTCTAAGGGCATGAAGCGCAAAAGAGAGCAAGTAGAACTGGACGATGAGGCCGCTTTGAATACAGAAGGGGTCGGTAACGAGGCTGGGATAAATGTAGAAGAACCCTTAGTTAATTCCTCTGGCTGTGCATTTCGAATGAGGACTTATGAATTTGGCCAGAAGCAGTCGCGATCTGCTAATCTACACCCCCAACCCAAAACAAATAGCAAAGAGCTGTGTTTATCCCATTTAGATGATGGGGAAGAAAAGAATGTTTCAATAGAAACAAATGAAGAACAGATTAATGAGGAGAAAGAGAAACCAAGAACAAAGTTTAATATGCCTAAAAGAGAGAAGAATATAAGAAAAAGTAAAACAATTAGTGAAGATGGTGATATGTAGAGACCTAGACATACGCAGAAATTATTGCTTATTTATGCTTTCCTACTGACATTTAAATATCTTTATAATTTTTGATCGTTTTGAACAGTTTATTGAAAGTAATTTCTTACCAAGCTTGAAATATAATATATTTCAAAACTTGAAAGTATTCAGGACCAGATAAACCAGAGACCACCGAAACAGGAGGCTGAGAGGGTTTAGCCCCCTCCCCAAAATGTACTTAAAACCATACAAACCTGCCCTGCTTGATTTTTAGAATGTTTAGCCCCCCTATTTTAGGCCTCCGAGTCTTAAATATATGCTATGCAGTCATTGAGATATCTCTTTTTTTATGATATTTATTTTACAAGTTGCTTTGAAGGTACTTGATCTTACATTTTAGGTTTGTGAGAATGCTCTATTGATGGAAAGGTGGGCTTGAAGTTCTTTTCAACATTCATTTGAAAACTGATAAAAAGGGAATCATGGCAAATATCTTTGAATAATAATCTTCTGAGGGTTGGCAGCTTAAGAATCTCATAAATGTTAAAAATTCCCATTAATATTGAAAAACAAAAAGGTACCAATGGTTCATTCCTGCCCAAACACTTTTCACAGTAAGGATATCTCAGATCAAGTTCTAATTTGCAAGGGTGCACATCTCACAGCCTTTTATGGGATTTTAGCTGGACAGGTCATGCCTTTGATCTTTAAACAAAGAAAGGGAAGAAAGGTAAAGGTAAAATTTCAGGGCTAAAGAGTTGTTTGTATTTGTATTTGTGGCTACCTAGCAACCAAAGGTAGTTTTTAGGACACTGAGAAGCTATGCTTATCGAGCAGAGTCCTGGTCCTTCCTCTCAATGTGGCCACACCTCGTGATTCCTATGCCTGGAATTACAGAGAGCTGGCGACTCTCCCCACTCTGGGTGAAAGTTTGGTCATGCCAGGAACTCAAACCACAGACCCTTGGGTCTGTAGTCAGCGCCTCTAACAACTGAGCCATCCTTCCACTGATTGCTGCCCTAGCTAAAAGGCCTTGCCATACCTATACAGTGATGGCATTGTCACTATCGTGGATTCCAGAGAGCTGTTGGCTTTTAACCCTATTTTTCAATTATATCAGCTAACAGCCTAAGGTACACTTAAGATCACCAAGTTTTTTTTCAATCATTGAAGATTTATGCAGCCTATTTTGAACAGATAAATTCACAGTTAATCACTGTTTAGTTTTCCTTTTCATGGTTTGCTATTTAGAATCCCTCCAACTGCCAACATTGGAATATGCTTCTTCAAAATCACCCTGCATATTGCCTAAGGTACTTGAATAAATTTTTTAAAACGGGGGAGGGCTCTGCTGATATTTCAGGTCAAGAATTACAAATTTTTTGTCCAGCGACTTAAACTTCTGGGCGGTTGTTTTCCTAATAATTTTCTGATTGAACTTTTTTTACAATTTATTTTTGTAAGGAAACAATCCTAGTTATTTACTATTGAACCTGGTGCCTCGAAAACACTGGTTCAGGTGAACAACCTTGTGTATTTCTAGAAAACAAACTCTATCTTGTGGTGCAATTTTGGCAGGTATATTTTGCTGGTAAAAATTTGAAGCACATTGAAAAGTTTTCATTGTGCCAAAAAGACTTTAGTACCCTAAGAATCATCCAGTGTGCTGAATTCTAAGAGTAAAAAGTGTACTACTTAAAACTAACTGGATAATCTGAACACCCAACATTTCTTCTCCCTTCCTGCAGTTTCTTCCCATTAAATAGTATCCTCCATAGGATTCTAGGCACTCCAGAGCTGGAGGGGGGAGGCGTCTGGGTGAGTACTTTTTTGCTGGAGTATAATATTAATGTTGTGAAACCAAAGATAATGGTGGAAACACTACCATAAAGTACCCCGAAACCCCACCATCCCCACCCAAAAATGTGCTCTGATGTCCCTGGATATACCAGATTTATTTTACCATTTTTTAAAGTGTGGTTTCTATTCAAGGCTGGGCGATGTTCTCCTGGCACCATATTTGAAAAACTGGAATATTTCAAGATGCCATATATCCAAACCATATTATATCATGGGACAGGGTATACCTTTGATTGCGTTAGGGTTTGAAGGAGTTTTCCACAAATCCCATTTTTCCCCACCACCCACTCAAGAAAGTTTAAATGACAACAGGCATTTTCTGGAGATTACAAGTCTAGGGGGGGGGGGGCTATGTTAACGGAGAAGATGCCTACACGATGAAGTATGGTGTGGTCGATCATCTCATTGCAACATTGAGTATTTTTCGTGTTTTAGCTCTTTTATTAGTGAGTCGCCACTGTGTGCCGGCGGCGTTGGATGGCCACAAAAGAAATAAATAAACACGAAAAGAATTGCGTGACTGCCACCACAGTCAAGGAGTCCTTATAAAATTTTTCCGTTTTCGGACCTTCTCGATATTCTGCCCCGCGTGAAAGCTTCTTTGCCAAGCCGATACTCTGTGCAGTAAATAAAATATTCCCACACAATTAAACATCGCGACAAGAGATCGTGAGAAACTATGATGCTTATGGCGAGAAAAGCTTTCATCTGCCAGTGTTGCCGTTATCAGACAATAGAGAATAGGAAGTCACGCAGGATCAAGATAAGACCCAGGGGTGTCGTGGCTTTGGGCTTAGATGGGGGGGGGGCAGAGAAGACAACCCAAGTTGCCTTTGTATATATTTGCGCACACTGGATTCTCCAGAATCTGCCGACTTTTGCCCTTGATCTAGGCAATTTGGACAAAACTACTCGGGAGTCCATTCCTTGCACCCCGAGGACAGCACGTGCTCTATGGCTCTCCATCCTGCCTTAAAATCTCGAAGCAAGACTCTAAGGAACATTTAAGACCAGCTCAAGCAAAGATGGAAGGCAACTGTCTCTTAAAATTTTCGTTTTTTCTAGAATACCATTACTCAGTTCTAGGTCAGTTGGCAAATGACTTTTATAAGTCAAAAAGAAAGATCAAAACTTTTGAATCCTCCAAAAAGGACACGATCCTAATCACACATTATTTATCCATGTTATTAACTCTTTAATAATCTGTGCATTTGATTAAACCACAATTTTCAAATCCAAAATCAAATGAAAACGGTCCAAGATGAAAATATCTGGCAAATAAAGGCAAAATTAAGTGCCTTACGTAATGAGTACACAATGTTTACATGAAGTATATATCTTCTAATAGTCAATGCAGTGCATCTTATATGCAAATCACTTTATAAAAGTGGCTTAAACGGCTTGTCACTTTGTCGCAAATGGTCCAGATGTTAACTTAGCTTATTAATTTGTGGATATCTACTAACGGAACCAGAATTTACAGGACTTTTGGCGATTGGTTTTTAAAACAAACTTATGACCTTTTAAACTAATTTAACACAATCAACTAAGTGCACATTAGAAGTCACTCAGTTACCTGCATGGTATCAAAAAAATCTCAAAAGTTTCAGATCGATTTTGATACTTTTTTTTAATGCTCAGAATACAATTTTTTCTTCCAGTTACAAAGAAAATTTTCCTGATTAAGGGCACACAGTAGTGAAGTTCACAATAATTCTGACAGAATGCCATGATTTACTGTCCAATCGTTTGTCACTGAGCGAGAAGATCTGTGTGTTAGGAAGTACAAGCTATCGAAGATGGTGGACATACACTTATACAAATAACTATGTTTATTTGTCGCACATAAACAGTTGCGCAGACGATCATTTGTCGCCAATGCATCTAAGAACCTTTAATGAAATGCTAGGAGCCAACTATAGAGCAAACATTTCATTAAGATTTTGCTAGAAAACGATTCCATGAATCGTGTAAACTGCTTCGTATCGTGTTTAAATGTCTCTTAACATTATGGACAGCCCGGGAAAACAGTTCATGATCTGAAGGGTTTTAAAAGAATCTCCATACAGAAACAAACTCGATTGATAACAGAATCGAATTGACCATGTTTGGCAAAGGGCAATAGCGGTACAAAAACGGGCCTGTGTTAGGCAACCGATCTTTGGTGGGAGCTTTTTTATGGGGCTGGAGGGGTTGACACCAAGCTTTACAAGGTACATTCGTATATCAACCCACAGTTACACTCTATGCCATATTTGCCAATTATTACCATCAAGGAATATACCATCTTTGAATGCCAATACCTCTAATAACCACAACGATAGAAAATCAAGCCCATGTCACACGTGACAGCAACAACAACAACAATGACAACAACAACAACAACAACACTAACAACAATAGCAGTACAACAGCAATGACAACAACAACAACCAAATTGATAAACTAACGTGACCCCTGTTTGTTGCAGTGATGATCATTCCGAAGTGCCAACAGTACATTAAGTTTTAACATTAAAGCAAATGATGGTATAGTCTTTAATTTTTTCAGTAATGTCGATTGCTTTGTCGCTACCATGATTATACCAATCTCTTACGAAATCTTCACTGAGCAATTCATGCATTCAGCTCATCGGCTAAATCACCTACGAGAGATATTTGATACCATTTAATACCACTGAAACCAATCATGCTTTATTCTCGTCAACATGGCTGCAGCTTTTTCAGGGCAAGAAGCAGCTTTAGCCCTGCTCAACTGTCAAACATTGATATTATCTAAACGTTATGCTTCTTCAAGGTGGACAAAACTTGTTTCCTTCTGGGAATTCAATATCAAAGTCACATATTTCTGTATAGAAAAATCAAAATAATGACGTGTAAAGAAGGTTCTATCCAATAGCTAAAAATGTTGCTATTAGTTCATTGTAGCTAATTATATGGATTTTCTAATCAACCAAGACTCTAGCATTTAACATAATACAAAACATTTCCTTCCATCTAAACCATTGCCCGCAATTGAAGCTATTTCCACGATCCGGTGCATTTCCAACCCTGTAGATTTCTAATGGAACAATGTGTTTCTAAACCACAAAAGATGTAAGTTAGGGACGATAGAGAGAGACAGCAGAGGGATGACATTACACGACATCACGTGCAATTCAAGCCACTAGCTGTGGTACACTATATACTTAGCCCTTTTAATAAGTACAACTGGCAATATGTTTAAAATCACCACTACTGTAAAAAATCCAGAGAGATGTCATCCTGTTGAAGTTTTCCAGTTTAAACAGGTTTCTATAATGCTGTGGTTTGGCATTTTCCAACAACAGAAAGTTTCAAATCACGAGAAATATTTTATTTCACATATTAAAAATCAATTTATTTATTGGAAAATGGAAGCTTGAACCATTCATGACAACAACACAGACAGCGGCTTAGCAGGAAACTGAAGCGGAATTGCCTTCTCAAATTTGTAACAGCAAAGAAGCCATTTTTCGAAGTCACGTGGCTAGGGACAGATTCATTAGGAATAAAGCAATGAAGCACTAGAGAATTGAATATGCGGAAGCTAACAAGAAAACCGTTAGCATGTAACAGACGGTGATTTCTGTTTAAATTATCTTTGATGAAGCAGATGAGAGGATAGAAGAAAAGGAACTTAAATTCATAAAGGCATTAGGCCATTGCTTTCTTATTCGTTTCAAATCCCAGATCAAGATTTTCTGTAGCTACGTTTCTGTCTTATAAGAAACTTAATAATTCATAGATGCAACAGGACGTACACAATGTGATTTGAAAATGGCTTTTAAAAAAGCAAACATTTTACAACATACTAAAAGCTTTTTTGTCTGACACTCCCCAGAGCATAAAACGTTTTATGCTCTGAGGAGTGTCAGACAAAAAGCTTTTAGTATGTTGTAAAATGTTTGCTTTTTTCAAAGCCATTTTCAAATTCTGTACCGCAAAAAAATTGTTCACAATGTGATTTGTAGTATTTATTGTATCACCTAAGCAAAATTTATTTACGCTTAGGATGAAGGTATCTCTCACTGTTTAACTAATTTCTTATCCTGGAAAGCACTTCTTTATGAAGCAGTTATTAGCCCCATTAAGAGCTTTCTGGGGCCTGGGGCAAACAGAAAAATGGGACGCGTGATCATGTCATAAAAACTATGATTGTTATTATTGTTAAGGAAATCATTATTACTTTTTGGGCCTCTCTCAGCTGGGTGCCTAGCGCAATAACTCCCTGCCCCTCTATCGGCAGACCTGGCAGTGCTTCACAAGAACATTCACTCAATTTGCTTTATGTTTTTTGTGCTAAATGGAATTAATCTCAACAGAGCGAAGAAGATGGACAAACAAAAGAAGCTGAAAGTGGACATGACATCCAGGATTGAGGAATATCCAGGAACTTCATGCAGGAACTTCAAAAGTAAAGCAGGTGTTATATAATGTAGATCATCCATATATCATGCAGGTTTGCAACCAGTGTCACAGTTTGTTGTGGGGAGGTTAACCTCAAGGGCACCAGAGTCATCGCAGTCTGTTGTTTAGAGATGTCCGTTGTTGTGACGTCTGCTGTTCACAGGTACCCACTAAGTGGGGCTTTTACACTATTCTGCCGCAAAATTATCCACAAGAAAAAACTTCCAGATCGCAGAAAAAATGAGTGACAATGCAGTCGCAGTTGAAGAAAACGATTGGCTTTTCTATAATATTCTACCTCTAAATGTCTACGTAGGGATTTTTGTCGTGGACTTGTGCTACTCTCTGCAACTTTGAAGGTTCGTTCAGTCGACTCTGTAACGTTGTAACTTATATGCTTAATATTCAGGGATAAATTAGAATACCTTAGGCGATATTGAATTGGTTCGTAATGCATTTATAATGAATTCCGTTCGCGTTTACTCTGTGTGTAGTTTGTGTTTGATTTCTGTTATACTTGGTGCCGAACATAACAGATTCTCGAAAACATTCAGCACCAGATGAAAAACCAAGAAAAAGGCACGAGTGCACAGTCAATATTCGTAAATTGAGAAACGATCAACTGAACGTGAGTTCTAAAAGTGTTGCAAAAAACTTAGAAGCCGGAGAAGATCCCTGGCCTACTTGTGAATTTGAAGCTTAGGCCAATTCATCTCCCAAGCGCGTGTTTTCATGGTAACAATAGAAGTTATACATGATAGTCTTGTAACGCACTGTGCCTCACATTCAGCAATTAGAAGAGAGCGTCCTCTAAGTTTCCTTCTAGCTATCTTTCGTGAATAAATGCTATCATTGTTTCCTTGTCCTCCATTCTTCCATTGTGTACCATACAGGGTTAGAGTGCCAAACACCTAAGCTCGTATGAGCTACCCTTCAACTAAAAAGACCTACCCATAGTTCAAGCGTTTAAAAAAATCTACTCGTGGCTCGCGTTTTCCTTACTGAGAACCAACTTAGTGCGCTGGAGCAATGTGAAAACATCGAATCCAAGTGCAACACAAGTGTACAGTTTAACACCGACAATGCCTCACCAAGGCCGTTGAATGCGGAACTCACCATGACAACAACGTTCCCTAGGAACATGACCCCCTAAATTCCTTGTTGAGATCACTGTACGGTTCAAGTGCTTATAATGAAGTAACAGAAGTAACAAAAAAGGTACTTACAAAGGATGTCTTTAAATTTTGATAGGCCCTGCCTGGGAATTGTAATAGAGCTACGGAAATTACTTGTCACCTGCAGAAAAGACAGAGAAATTAAAACTTTCACTAAGTAAGCCTTGAAACTAATCATATAAAAATTACTCCACAGTATAATACTGTTGAAAGTAATATTTGCTACATGTAATTACCATAGAGCTAATTCTATTGGTTGTCCAACGATTAGCTTAGCCATGCTAAACAGCACAGTAAAAACAACGAAAGACATAGATATTGTTTGTGGAAGACATCTTTATAAATAACATTGAAAATAAGGCCGATTTTTTCAAGAAAATACAAACAAATGTTTTCTCAGTCAAAATATAAACATCAATGTTTTACGACATATACGTCAATAATTAAAACAAAATGAGAATTTGGCAAACATTGAGAGCAAACATTTTAAACATACTAAAAGGTTTCTCGTCTGACACTCCTCAGAGTATAAAACGTCAGAATGAGGTTCCGAATAATAGAAAATATATACCCAGTTGCGGATCGAAATAGGCCAATCAGAAAAACGCAAGCACAAGACCGGCATAGTTGACCAATCAGTACCGTTTGAATGTAGAGAAATTACTACTGAAATCCAAGAGGAAATTACCACAGGAGTCATTTTTCTGGCGGACACAGGGTGTTTTTTGTGGAAAGCTTTCATATTCTAACATTAACAAATAAGGAATGTAGAAAAACCCTATTTCTATTTGCATTGTCAGGATGTCGTTATTAAACTTCTCATGCAAAAGGCTGGGAGCAGTGTTACTGGGAATAAGATGATTTGAGTTTCACACCAAAGACACGCCCTATTTTCAATGGCTCCTTTAAACAATGGTTTTAGACTGTTTTTCAAAGCCTATTCGATGGTCTTAGAACGATTTCAGAGTTTACCGGAAGAGCATGAAGGTCGGATGAAAACATACCTGGGTTTAAGGGAAATATGCTTTTAATAGTCGGCTACTCGTTACTTCTGTATAGAACAGAAAAACCTTGCTTTACGTGCGTACCTGGCGGTATTAATCAGTAAAGTTGTACACAAACTGGATAAAAGCGTATAACAAATTACCTCAGAAACTCTTAAGAAAGAGCCTCGGTTGTTACGCCCACAGTCAAAGTAGAATCTTTTGCGTTCAATACGCATTTCCTTTGCTTGGGGCAGCTCACCATCCTCTGTGAAAAACAAGAGGGATGATTAGCTCAAGTTATAAAAATATAAAAAATCAGGTAATGTATTGGGGAGTCTGTTGTGCTCGGGGGGGGGGGGAGGAGAATAGTTATCAACCACTTTATCGCAGAATGTAGCCATGTAATGTAGCCATGTAGAGATAAGCATTGATTTCATTCTTCTTAGTAAACTTAAGTTCAGGCACAGTAAACTTAAGTTCAGGCGGACTGTTCTTAGTATTTTCGAAAATCTTAGGCCAGGTTGTTCTTAATTTGGTCTTAATTAAATAAGGTATGAGCAGTACAATTGCCAGCTGTTTCGTTTCAGGGAAAGGAAACAAAGTAAGTGAGACATCCTTCATTTGCCGCCAAGTTTGAATATTCACCGTAAAAGCACCCACACATCGCTAAAAATCTTCATTTTTGAGATAAAACGTTGTTCATAATTGCATTTTATAGCAGCGCAGCCTCCGCTTATCCTTAATTTGTTCTTGACATTTTACCAATTTTGAGGTTCGTGTTCTTATAAAATTGTTCTTATAAAAAAGAGTGTAGTTAGCTGTGATCTAGTATATTCCTATGCAGGAGGATGCCTTGATTTGACATCGTGGCACCTTGTACTTTCAGTATATTAATCTAATGTGCACTATAGAGATATAATATTTTCAAATGGGAAAACTTTTACGATCCTCTCCAAAGAGGATTTACTAAACTGCAACTCAATATTTAAAGAAAGGCCTAGCCAGCTAAACTTCGCAGTTTCTATACAAAGAAAAGTTTAAGAATAAAAAAAGCATAAACAAGTACGTCGCAACAAAGAAAAAATAATAACTTTCGAAAACCGTAACAATTCGAAGAAGCTCTAAGCAAGAAATTTACACAGGCCTAAATGTTTGAATGGAGATAGCGAGGTAAAATTGTGTAACCGAGGCAAAATTGTGTAAGCGAGGCAAAATTGTGTAAGCGAGACAAAATTGAATAAGCGAGATAAAATTGTGAAAACGAGGCATACCTTCTTCATCTGAGGCACCTTCATCGCCGCCATGCTGATCAAGGAACTCAGACAACGTGTTTCTGATGTCAACAATCCCCTGCGCCGGCAAAGCAAGAGTGGCACGTGCGCCAAACTGGGTCAGCTGGCTGATCTGTGGAGTAGAAGGCAAAGAAATAGTCAGTTAGACGAACAGCCAACAGCAACAGGGAAACAAGTCATATCTCACAAGGTATTGTGACAAGATAAAAAGCTAATCTTGTGCAGATTAGCAGGACTTCTTGTTTCCAAGAAACGCGGAATTTCGCCAAACAGGTTACGTTAGGATCGGGGGAGGCCTAAGGTTAATTGCACCAGTGTTTTGGACATCTAATAAAATTGCGTCACATTGAAATTAGATATCCTGACTGTTAAAAGCAGGCGTAATACAAGAAGAGAGATCAGGCAAATTCAATTCTCCCCCCACAAATCCTGCGAAATACTGTATTTATTCAAGATCTGCTGATCAAGCGCGTATTGAAACTTGTATTCAATGTAACCGAAGATCAATGTGGTTTTCTGAACAGCCAAAGACTCGTTCAGTTGAAAGAAAGACATTGTAGCGACAGCTACTGTAACACGATTTCCAAAAATTTTGTCACACTACACCTGAAAGCAGATTGGTCTAAAAATTTAAAACGGGAACTTTCAACAAGCGAAGACTAAATAAGATAACCTTTTTGGAAAAAAGAAATCGGGGGATATAAAGTCGAGAGAAACTTGGATCGGGAAAAAGTCAGGTCGAGGACGAATCCGGTCGTGATAAATCGAGTCGGGGAAAAATTAAGTAAGGAAAACTTTCGTCATTTTTCCCCGACTAAATTTTCGAATTGGTCGCTTTTCCCTGACTAGAATTTACTTTCTCTGAATTTCTAGAATTACTAAAGTTTTCTTTGAAACCCACACACCTTTAAAACACACTTATAGGTGGAGGAAAGTACGAGTCGGGTAAAAAATCGGGGAAAATTTAGTCACGATTTTTTTCTTATAAGATAGCTCTGTAGCAGAAGCATCATGTTTCTCAAGCACGAGCTTATGTACAAGCAATCGACTGAATAACAGCCTTGGCTGCCAGATTTTGCAAGTGACCACAAGGCTAAAAAATTCAGGCAACGGGACAAATCTGCATGCATGCCTATACTTAGCCCAACCTGCACGTACAAGCATGTCACGTAAAGATTTTAGTTCCTGGAAAGTGACAGGGAATTCGGCCTGAGCACAAAGAACTCTCGAAATCAGGTGCTAAGTCCCTTAAGTCTCTGTCACATGCACAAAATCCAGAGCACGAGAAAAAGGTATCAAAAATCTTCCCAAGCAAGTTGGACAGAATTTCAGTTCCTGGAAAGAATATAATGGGAAACTTCTGTCTGAGCTCAAAGAATTCAGGAAATCAGATGCTAATATCCTTTGGTCTCATGTCACATGCACATGAACACGAGAAAAACGTAAGAAAAATTTGAAACACACCCTCAAGAAGCGTCCTCTTTGATTCTCTTTCAAATCGAAGTAGTATCTTCGGCCACCACTTCTTTGAGTTTCACTATAAAAATCGTAAACAAAAAAACAATTCACTGTTTGCTTAGCTGCACGCATAATTTCCTTTTTCAAGCCAATGTTTCGGAAATATTTTCTTCAACTAAGCCCCTTCGCTAGGCAGCATTTAAAGAATGAGATCTACTGTATTCATTGCTGATTTTGAGCTTCTAGGAAATCTGTATTTATTGCGTGACAAGGAAATTATGGAGAAACAATGATTTGGATCTGTTACAATAAAAAGTTATCTTTGAAACATGGGGCAGTGATGTGGGGGGGGGGACTGAGATTTCAGAAAGGGGGGAGGTAGGAAGGGAAGCAAGAAAGGGATGAGATTCAGGTAAGAAAAGGAGGTTCAGAAGTGACTCAATGAGAAAAATATGGGAGCAGAGCTGAGTTTGAAATGGGGACAACGCTATAAAAACGGGAAATTTCTGTGAGATGGGAAAAGAGCAGATGATGACTTGGGGCATCAGCAGAGGATGGCAAAAAAAGAGATTGAGGAGCATCGCCTAAGATAAAACAACTACAAGAATGAAAACTGGGTTTGGGGCAAAGTTGGGGGGGGGAGAGTGAAACGTCTGTTGCATAGGGAAATAAGAAGATGGCACAAGGAGGTCAAAGGAAATGCTATGGAAAAATGCCAAAGAGAAAACTGAGTACAGGAAAAAAATTAGTAAATGGGGGAAATGCTAAGATTCTGTAAAACAGTGCATTAGGTTGACATACCTTTTGAGTTTTCCTTCTTCTGGAACCTGCCCTGTCTGGGCTGGATCTACAAACAAGACACCATCTATATAATCTGTGCAGACCAATATTTTGCAAAAGAGACAAGTGGCGATAACATGTAGGTCAATACAATTTCTTTATGGTATTTGAACAGCGACTACGTTTCTTGATTTGCTCATTTTCCTCACCAACGTAGCAAATGACTTCATGTCTACTCGGTCATGACAAATATGCAGTTACTGAGAATAAACATGGTACCCGTTTAAGCATTTATCACACCCAGTACAGTCCTGATTAATTCATCTTAAACATTGACATTTCAATCAATACATTAGCAAACTCTTAAAATAGGGTTAAACTTGAATTTATAAGCAGAGTGGGTCTCAGTAGCTGTTGCAAAGATAGGTTTCAAAAGTTTACCAGGGCATATGTGCAATAATGGGGGGCAGGGAGCACAAAAGCCTTTTGGGAAATTAAAAAGAAAGGGCGATTATAACTAGCATAGTAGTGCAAATAGTTTTTTCAGAACCTTATAAGCCCAGACTCTTTGATGGCCTAACTGCCTTAATATCATATCATGTCCTGACATGTAATGAGATGGCAACTGAGAAGCTTTCGAGCACGAGACGCAAGTAACGTTAAATAAACCGATCAACTCTCTAGTGTTAAACAAGAGCAGTACAAAGAAGCCTGGAAAATGATCTTCCGAGTCAAGTGAAGAAGATGTTTGAGGACACGTTGTGGCCAAAAACCCAAGCGTTTGCTTCGTTTAAAGTAGAATGTTGTTGATTTTTTATTGACAACAGAAATTTCAAGATCTCTGGGCCTTCAATTCCCCAACCTTTTATATAGCCATTTGCAAATCCCTTTGCATTCTCAAGTATGGGTATTTACTTGATATAAAAATCCTTAGATAACAAGCTTCTAAATTTCACCCTGAAATCAGCAGCTTTAGATAACAACCTCATGATTATGCCATTTTGGAAAATTAATTTTTTTAGAGGCAACATTGAAAACAGTTTTCTCAACGATTAAAAACAGCTAACGTACCTCTCAAATACTAATCCGTACCCTTAACGTAACCCTAACCTTAACCCTAACCGTAAGTAACCCTTGGTCACTATGTGGGCCAAAATTCCGATAGCTACTTTATACATTAGCGCCCGAACTATTGCCAAATTCAATAATACATTCAGACAGCAAGTTTTCGATTCACCTAAAGAAAAAACTGTTCATTCTCAAAATACCTTCACTGTCACGTGAAAATTCAACTCACCCAGCTGGGCATAGAAATCTGCGAACGAGGTTAAGCGATCGCGTATATCTCCAACAACCGGCATTGGAATGTTGATTTTGTTCCTGGTGCCATTGTTGAGGACCTACAGATGAACAAACAAATCATCAGTTACCGGTGCCTGGATTAAACCGACCCCCTGATGACCATGACCATGGCCACGATTCAGGGGGTCAAAAAATAACCAGATAATGATGACAGAAGTCCATATACACATTTGCCCTGGAATGGCATAAATCGGACACAGTAGCCATAGATGGTTAAAAGAAATCAATAAAAGAGACATACTAGCCTTATATGGTTCAAAGAAACGCATATAAGGAATATATCAGCTATATTTGGTTCGAAGAAACAAATTAAGGGAGCATTTCATCCAAATATGATACAAACAAAAGTATATAACGTGCACATAAGCCATATATGGTTTAAAGAAACGCATACAAGGAATACATTATTTGGTTCGAATAAACAGGTATAGGGGATACATTAGCCAATTATGATACAAATACAGGTATATAAGGTGCACATTAGCCATATATGGTTTGAAGAAACGCATAAAAGAGGGATATTAGCCTTATTTGGTTAGATGAAACACATAAAAGGAATGCTACAGACATTAAAGGTGACTAGAAACGCATAAGAGGGGTACATTAGCCATATATGGTTCTATGAAACGCATATTTAAGACAAATAACCATATACGTATCCCGCAAATTGTATAAGCTAGACCATATTCATCTTGTACATTTTTTTATCGTGTGCATTCATCACCATTACAAAAGAAGGTCGGCTGTGCATGGACCAAACATTTCCTACAGGGTAATCTATACGAGGGCTATTTGCTGAAATTCTAAACCAATCGCGTTGCAAGAAGACAAGCTGGTTGCTAAATGGTATTTAATGGAATGAGTCGGTCTCTCGGTGTCGGATACACAGTCCTCTCATTCAAACATGGTTATGGGTTGGACGTTTCCATATTCAATTAACAGGTTCGTTTGACCAGCAAAAGCAAACGTTTCATACTAATGACAGTAACAAATTGTCCGGCGAAATAGAATTAACATTATGTCCGACGAAATAAAATTAGCATTTTGTCCGGCGAAAAGATAGCAAAAATTTGAAATTGAAGTAATGAAGGATGGCAGGCGTTCAAAGATATGTACAGATTCATATCCTGAAGATCAGCTATAATCATAGAAAGTGTCTGAAAGCTAGGTATTATTTAAATCGTCCTGATTCTTTATAAAAAATATCTTCAGATTTGTGAATAGTTTTTAGAGCGGAAAAGCTGCATAAACTTCTGCACGAAGAATCGAGAAAAATAAAGGCTTATAACGAGGCGTTCGCACAGCAGCAGCTGCCACACTTCTAATTAACAACAAAGAGAGGGGATCTTCAGTTGAATGAGCTAAACCCCCGTCTCTCCGGTAAATGAGCATGTGCATCGAATCTTTACTGCGAAGGCTACAGAAAAGGCAATGGCTTGTTCATTATGGGGACCAGAACTCCAATCGACTTTCTTAAATTACTTCAAAATCCCTTTCTGCAAAATTTTTGCTTTTTTCACTCAATGTGGAGCAGTCCCGCCGAGAGCTCTTCTGGGGCCTGGGGCAAAATGGAATCCGCGGTAACGTCATAAAAAATGCGAATATTTTTGTTGTTGCTGTTGTTTGGAACCTTGCTATCACTATTTTGGGCCCCTTTTAGCTCGGGGCCTTGACCTCATCCCGGTTGGTACGGCGTGGAGCAACGACGGGCACGCGATCGCCATACTTTTGAAACCCACACCAGTCGAAGTTGTAGACGTTATTATATTCAAACAGCAGTGTATTCGTGTTGACCCAGGCATGGTATGCCCTAAGGCTATATGTAACAGGTGCAACCAGACACGGTCAACAAGGCTGGGTCGTCTATACCCATGTAATACGGCTGTTTTCTTGTTAGGCGAGCGAATTGGCAGATGGTTTGAAAGTGTTTTGCCTGAAGCAACATTCAGCGATTAGCTAGCTATTCATAGATAAAGCTTTAGAATACAGCAGCATGCCATGCGGCGCATAGACTAATTATAACACAGAAAGATAACATGCTTGGATACGATGTGTTTCTGTTTGAAATGGCTTCAGGCGAAACACGAAACAAAGGAGTTACCCAGCCCTAAAGTCTAAAAGGACATTGATTAAACTTGATTTCGTGCTATCTGCGAGCTTAAAAGACGATTTGGAAATATATTAATCCATGGCTCTGATGTTCTTTTAATAATACCAAATGAAAAGCTTTTTTAGATTTAGCTTGAAGTACAATTGTTGTGTTATTGTTTTTAAACATCTAGGTTCGCATATTATTATTTGCCAAATAGATTCTAGATTCCAAGTATGGTATAACATACGAAATAATTTGAATGGTAAACAAATAAGACCAATGAACAATGTGGACACGAGAAGGATAAATCAAGAGCCAAAATAACTTGCATTTGGGGAGTTGGCGCGAAAGCCCGTCCCACATTAAAGGGTAGTTTGAATGCTTAAAATATTCCAAATCTTCATTAGGAATAGAAACAAAAAATTCAAACAGGCATGTAAGTAGAGAACAAACTAAACAGAGTTTATCTGATAATGTTACTATCCCACAATTTTTTTTTGATTCCATCTCCCTTTGAAGTCTTAATCCTTTCACTTCATTGTCCCTCTCTTCTCCTAACTGCCCACCCTGGTTGTCTGATTCCATCTCCCTTCTCTTTAATGTCCCCTCTTCCCCCAGTTGTGGACTCCTTTCTTAGTTGTTGATTCCCTTCCACTGGTTAATCCCCTTCCTCTCATTTATCCTGTTTTCCCCTAGCTGAGCCCTAACGGTTGTTGTGCTATCCTCCCACTAATGGTCGTTTAACTAATCCCTGTCTAAAAAGAGAATCTGCAGCTTTTCCGTCAAACTGTTTCACACCAGCATCTTCCCTTCAGTTTTGATTGTAATTTAGCACTAAAAAAATTAAATCCCTTCCTACAGCTTAGCTACTATTTTCCACTTGAAAACGTTTGAATAAAAACATGCTACAGCTCCGTCGTATATGGCAATTTTATGCACAAATTACATAATTTACTTCAAACGGTTGTAAATGGAGATAAAACGAATTCATTTAATCTTTTAAAAAAGCCATCCATTCAGTAAAAAGGAAAAGTTATAATATACAAAAAGAGAAACTACAATACAATAAAAATTTGTTATATCAGTTGTCTGATCTTCCATGGATTCGTGCCGAGCTAATTCCTGTTGGCTCAAAAAGTGAAATCTTGGTTCTTTTTTAAATCTTACAATGGAATCGATATCTCTAATGGATTGTGGGATTTCATTCCAAGCAATTGGCCCAGTGTACAAAAACCTCTTTTGGTGTACTCTAGTGTTAGTTTTGTCACATTGAGATCCTGCCTATCCCTTGGGATGTATTTCGATATGGCAGACTTTTTGAGGAACTTATTTTTAGCCCTAAGGAAAGAGCTGATTAACAATTACTGGAGATCATTTCTCAAATCAGTAAGACGCAGATACCAACTCGAGAAGCTTTTCTTCCACTTTTGTAGATTTTCAGCCGTTTCCTCAACCTAAAGTTTATTGATGTAATCTTGATTTGAAAGACTCATAACGTTTTGTGATATGATTTACCTGTTGCTTTTCTAGAAATTCAAGAAGTCAAACTTTATGACAAATATTCCCAATTTATACTTAAACTTGAAAATTACTCCTTGAAGATTGCTGTTTTCAAATGATTTGCATCACATTTTGACGCTACAAGCAACAGAATCCTATAAATTTCATGATCACAAAGTTTAATCCTAGTTGAAGTTGCAACCTATTTGAGATACGCCAGTTTGAAAGCAGCTACAGAAATTTTATGTAAAAGATCCCCTTTTATGTACGTTTGTGGTCTTTCATTCTCAATTTTTTTAGTGTGCAACTACCACGTAAATATACGTTTGAAAATATGGATCATTTAACGTTAGTGAACATTTGACCTACTCTGGCGACATCCTTCTTTCAACTTTTCTCACCTAAGCTGTAAATGTGTGGTACTCTTTTGATAGGAAAAGAGTTTGACAAAGATTTCCTTTACAGTATCGAAAAAACCCGATTTTTCTAGATTCGATGTGATTAAGGAAAAGTTGTAATATTGATATAATGCCAAGCTCCTTAGGCCGTAAAAGGGCTTGAAATCTCTCCTGACTGGATATTTCACTGGTAAACTTTCCTAGAAAACCAATATCGTCCATTCATTCGTTAATACAAACATACAGTTTGTGTCTGATAACTTGAATAGCAGGGAGGGATTTAATTTGTTCTAATTTTGCAAAATTCCCATTATCAAAAGTTGCGTTAAAATTGGCACTTTGATGAAATTATTATTATTTTTTATAAGAAAAATTGAAAATTCAGGCAGTAGGATCGTAAGACATTGGCTTTTGAATTAAGGTGAATTTGTACCTTTAATTACTGTAAGGATGGTCGTTAGTAGTAACGACTATGCCCAAAAAATTGTAAGGTTTGCATCCTAGCAAATAAAAAAACATATAATTAAAGCAATGCTGCAAGGCCTGGATTGTTGCTTTGCAAAAAAGCTAGAGTGCCAGGATGAAGAGGTAAATGCTTCCAATGCCTTGCAGCATTAATGCGATGAGGATTGAGGGGTAATAGAGTGGCCTTCCATAAGAGATTCTGTCTCTTCTCTTGAATTCTGTTTCATCATAATACCCAAGATAAAATAAACTCACTGACTTATTTAATAACAAAGAAAGTGTGAAATATAAATTCTGGGCTACTAAGAGTAGGGAATAGGAGTTGAAATGCCCAAGGCCCTTGCAGTCTAGGGGATGTCATAAAGTAATGAAATCCATTTTAAGAATGGAATTAATCAAATGTAACAAAGGCATGTTGAAAAAGGATGAAAACTGCAAGAAAAAATATGAATTATCTTTGTACAACTCTAAGAGGGTGGGGTGGAAATTTTTTGTTTTGTCTTTCAGTTTTGCCCCCATGCCTCCTAAATCCTCTTGGCAAACCTGTATACATTCATTCCTGACCTTCACACAATTCAGATAATCAAGAAGCTTATTATGATTCACTTAAAGCTGTGTTTTTCTTTCATGCCCCTATTCTTGTTCAATCATCTCCGGTTCCTTAGGCATCGAAGGAAGTCAGTTTGACTTTGGTGACAGATTAAAGAGAAAAACTAATACCAAATGCAGTAGTCAAAATCCACAATTCTTATCCTTTATTGATGGCCGATGCATTATCAAACATTGAGCCTCTTAGTTGAGAAAAACCCAGACTAAAATGAATTATTCAAACATTCCATCGGCTATCCAGAAAAATCTTAATGAAAGCCAATAAAACTTGAATTTATGCAGGTATCTGCAACTCATGAATAACAACTAAAACTCATACATTTCGTCTTAAAGAATTAAATTGTAAAAAATAATGGAATTATAAAAAAGGGTGTAATTATTTTAATACAACTGAATATTGATCTTGGAAATGCGAAGGCAGATTTTCTTGCCAGACAAAGATATCTGCATGCATAACAACAGAAACATGATAAATCTGAGAGGATTCAAAATTGTAAGGCATTGTCGAACAAAGACAAAATAGGATTAACTTAAGAAAATTATAATGCAATGTGACCTTCAAATTTCATAAATAAACATAAATTATATCCTTTGCTTTGAACTAGGCACCCTTGGTTTGGGAAATCTTGAAAAAAAACGTTCTTAAAGTCTATCAGGAGACAGGGCTTTAACTGCAATCCCCTACTCTCAGAGAATAATATCCTTATAGTGTATTATCATTGCTATCAAGGTCAGCAATGATATGCTCTCTATTGGAAAGCAATAGAACCAATGATTGCAGTCCTAATACCCCCCCCCCCAACAAAAAACAATTCGAAGTCCTTGAAAGTCTAATTGCTGACACATTACTGTGAATTGTCCATTTAGAGTCTTTCTATGCTTTCAATTTCAATGTTAAATAATTCTTCAAATCCCATTGTATAGTACATCAGCTGAGTGCCAATTACAGACTAAAACAGTTAAAATTCCACTGGGTAACACACCCAGTCACCATTTTTCCAAGGCCTCCCAAAAACCAGCCAGCTAATTTTACATTACATTTTTGGCATCAACCAAGATGACCTGCATAATTTGGATGAGAAAATTTGTTGATAGTGCAAGAGGAGCAGCCCTGAGGTGAAGGGGCCAGCCCTTGGTATGTGCCACATATTTTCTTCTTTTTGCATTTGGAGTAAGTAAAGGAATATATAGCTGCGGGTTGAGGGATGTGCCACCAGGGGCATATCTTGAAGGGGAATTTAGGATTGTGTTTCAAACATCAGAAGATTTTTTGTCATCCGGCCTAAGAATTTGTAAGTTGGTTGGAAAAAATATTAGCTGGTCTATGTTTCAGATTGAATGTAACAAGGCTTTATAGGTCGCAAGACCTTCCACTCCCTAAACTATTATTCATCAAACAATTTTACAGATTTCAGGACTCTCAACCAAGCAGTCTGGAGTGATCAAGTTTCAGTATTGCATGACACCCCTAGTCCATGATATAGCCAAAGCCATCAATCAGGCATAAGTACATTTCTGGTATTCCAAGATTTGAAACTCAAATTATCTATTAAAAATTAAATCTATGATAAATGCAGTAACAGGTTTTAATGCAGCATGGAAAGTAGAAATTTTTTCTAGCATTGAGATTCTTTATCGAGAGAGAGAGAGAAAAAAGGCAGAACATAATTTAGCATAGAGAAAAAAAAGTTATGTTGTAACTCCATCTTGAACTTTTTGAAACACTATTGTTTCAGACTGACATCTTCACACCTCTCCCCTTAATGCCAAAAAATTACTTGTTCTGATAAATTCATTTTAAGTCTCCACGATAAATTTGTTGAAAGCTTAAGATTATTCATATCTGGATACTAATATTTATATCACTATGCAGACATTTATGACAAATTCAGGACATTTGTCATAAATTCACAAAATAATTACAGCTACACTAAAATTAGCTTTATCTGGGCAATTTGGTTTAACAAAAGTCATGATTTCTATATATAATGGATTTGATTTCAAACAAAATTTTTTGATATTTTCACAAACAATTGAAACTATCAGTTCCTATACCTTGCTATAAAATTTTTGAATAGCAGGTTCTGCAGCCCAGGTAGTTTTCCAAAGAAGAAAAAGTGTCCATTAAAGAAAAATTTCAAGGAAAATGGCAGTAATACTTTGGCAAAGCATAAACAACTTTGGGATTTGTCAAGACACGAAAAGATGTGAAAACATAAGCACATGACTGTAACTGGATCCAACAACTTAACACTAGCACATACATGCCTTGCAGAAGGAGAAATAGAACTTTCATGTAAGCTAATACTTAAGTGATTATGTTCACCAGAACCTGGAACAAACTGGCTGGAAAAATTTCCTCTTTATAAAAATCGATGATCTCTAATCTTTAAACAAGTAAACTAAATACTGCTTAATTTTTAAGTAAAAATTACTTATGACAGTCTTTTAAAGGCTTACTTCAGTTTTGAAAAAACTGGCAATGGCTAATTATTTATCAACATTGACAACATCAGCCCCCAAAACATAACATAAACCTGGTTTGATCAGGAAATGTAAATTATTGCTCTGACATTTTCGCTTATTTTCAACATGCTGAAATAGAAAACGAATAAGAACTTTGTTTGGCAAATCGAAACGAAGGACTAGACGCATTACAAGCGTTGATGACATATCACCAGTATTAGCAAATCTTGAATAACAGTTGGCTGATCAAACAATATTTTGGTTCAACAACGTCCATACTCTCCTGATATGATTACACTAATAGCTGATACAGGTATTCAAATATGCTGTTCCCATTTGTCGGTGTAAAAATTCTACAGCTTACCAATTTTGCGTGCAAATCCAACTTCGATCAAATGATATATTTCATGGGAAACTTATTAGATGGGATCAAATTACCTCGACAAGCTTGATGAACTTTCCACGCGAGTTCTGCTTCACATCCACGTAGTATCTCTTGTTTTGGATCCTCAGCATTTTGCTGGCAATTTCTTCCACAGCTAAAACGATGTTTGATAATACAAATAGAAAATGCACGGTAGCTACAAAGATTTGAAGCCCTGTATTGTGAAAAATGAACCTTGCATATCAAATTAAAGATTCTTCACCTAAGAATTATCAGGATGGTCTCATCTGAAAAGATGGAAGCAAACCTTTCGCTGGGTTGTTTACTTTAAAAAAGGTGAGGAAGATCTATTAGTGAAAATAAAATCAGATAATTTGCCTATATTGTACGGTATTCTTTTGGTAAATTTAGCATTGTTGACCTGCAATTGGAAAAAAATTTCGGGAATCTTACTAACGGTGTCTACCTTAGTCGAACCGGCGAAGGGTTATTTTTGCAGAAAAGAATTTTCATATAATATCTTAATCGCTGTCCTCAAAAGAAATCAGAAATTTTAATGCGTTCTAATCTGCGGACAGAACTTTCTGGGCATAATAACTGCACTGTATTTAAGTTTCAGTTTCAGACACCAGGAATCGGTCATCTCCTCCGTCCCAGACAAAAGAAATTTTTTGAGACACTGCATGCAAAAACAGCCTTCAAAAGAACTGAAATTATCAGGTCATGGTTGGAGCTAAATACTCTAGTTCATGCATAGTAAACATACTAAAACTCCGAACTTTGCAAGGAAAAGCTTTCGGCAAAAAAATTTGATCTGTAAATGAGATCCAATTCTGCGTTGCTTGTTCCTAAGTAAATTTCACAGACCAAATTTGCAATTTCCAGGCATTTACCTCAGACAAAAACAATTTTTCAGGACGTTTAACAACATTTAGACAAAGCAAAACGGCTTAGGCCATAATATCTTCAATAAAAATGATGCAGGGGTACTTGAACAAAAAGGATGGTACGGTACCGGCAAGTTGAAAATTCTCGGCAAGCATGGCCTCTCCCGACAAGATATCAAGCCAAGTGAGATAGCAAGTTCTGTTTGGCAACGAAGCAAGTGGTGACTTACCTGAGGAGCCCCGTTCCCTGTCGCTGCCACGATCGCCACTTCTGCCTTCACGGCTCTCTGTTTGAGACATGCCGACTGTCCTATTCGCCCTCTACAAAACCTTTCCTTCAGGCTCTGGTCAGCCTAGATCTTCTCTCCCTTCGAACAGCATGGACGACGGTCGAATATTTTCGACTATCGCAGCGATCTGGGACCGAGCAGTGCAGGGAAAACCCACCTTCAAGATTGCGCAATTTCCCCTCCACGTGAACAATTTTCCGAACATGTGATTGGTTTGCGGAATCACGGCAATGCCATCTTACAAGAACAATCAAAACAGATGCAATCAGAAATATGGACAAATACCTTGACTTCTATTTTTGGTGGGCATGGTGTACGAAATTGTTCTTTACATGACCTTAGATGATAATGACATAGCAACTGACATGAGCAAATCGGAGAAAAATAATTTGGGTTTGGGCTGGTCCCTTCTCTCGTGCCCTTTTAGGCACAACTCCCCTGGATTTCTGGTCTCTGTTTATCTAACAGGGGTCTAACAGAAACGAGTACAGCATCAATGGACTTTCAATTGACACCTGTTTGGCCAAAAAATATGAAACTGAAAGGCACATCTTCAAAGCTGCAGTCAAATTTTTTAGTCTTTATAATTTGAACTTTTCAATGATTACAAAAATTCGGGTCTCAAAGTTTATCTCTTAAAGGCAAAGCATACGAAATGCAAGTTGGTTTTGCGTCATTTTTCGCAAACACAGTACATCCATTAGTCATTCTGTCGTCAATCCACAACAACAGGCTGTGAATTTGAACAAAATTGCAGTAATGAACACGAAGTGAACATGATGAAACAGTTATCCGACAACTGAAAACACGTTGATTATATCTGAAGGCTTTAAACATGGCCAAATTCTGACGTCATGTTAATAGTCATTAATTACCTTACATATTTACTATAACATCAAGCAAAGCAGATTAAATATCCCCTAAATTTTGTAAAAGCTGTTATTTCTATTACAGATGACTGGTCATGACCTAAGACATGACCAGTAGGATACTTAAAGGTTAGCAAAGGGCTCACGAACTTGAGAAAATCGGACAGGGGCCTGTGCTTATTCAGCAATTTCTCAGCCAATCGCAGACAGACAGCTTTTTTGAATCGCAAAAAATTTTATTTTATCTTCTTCCGGTTTATAGTCACTGGTTACAAGTGAAAATTCTAAAAATGGTTTTACCATTGAATTTGAACACGGGCATAGCAGATGGTGTACGTTTAGGTGGGGGAGGGGGGCTTAACTGCTATAACTTCCCTGATTAGGAGGGGGCAGCCCCCAATCCCTCCGCCGCCCCTATATCTTCTACGCCTATAAACTATATCTTCTACACCCTTTACAGGTTGGGACTGAATGCAAAGGGGCCGTTCTCGAATTGCGACATAGTTGGGGGCAAAAGTGAGAACAACAGGGTGAGATTAACTATTGAAACACTTACTGGGGGGACCCATTGGAGGTATTTCCAAGTAGGAGTGTCAAAGTTTCACAACATTCCCCGCTCTTTAGACAAAAAAATTATGATCAAGTGATAAAGCCTCCCAAGTCCTTTGAAGTCTATTAAAATACATTAGTTCTAGCAAATTTAGAAAATACATTTTCAGCAAAGTTGAACAACTTAGATGTGAGCAATGGCAAAAATATAATGCCGAATTTTTCCTTTAGCAAAATTAAGCGCTTAAATATTTTAGCAAAAATTCAGTTAATTTGTGTTGATTATTCAAAATACGTTAAATTCCCAAAATAGTGCAGTAATTCACGCCACCTAGACAACAATCAATAGTGAGGCGACAATACCTTTAAAATTGTGAAACCTTTTCTAAAATGCAAATAGAAACTGTGAATTTCGAAACGTAACCGAAATCTGGCTGGTGGCAAGTCTGTTTGGCGTAACTTTCTCGTAAATCTCACCCTAAAATATTTGCATTATCTCAAAGTTGAATTATCTCCAACTTTGAATTCTGGTTTATGGTTAGGGTTACGAGCGATATCGTGCTATGGAAGTCATTAGCGTGGAAATTCAGATCCCCAAACCCCCTTTTTATCACTACGCCACAAATGTATCTGTATACTATTTCCAAGACACAATTTTCACTGTCAGTACTGTGAAATAGTCGTCAACATAAAATTTTTGAATTCAGATCGATTTCATACGTTGTACAGCGACAATGAAAACCAAGCAACAGATAGTTGGGATACGGCAATAATCAAGTTGAAATATCGTCGGGTTATAAACGTTGCTTAATTGCTCTCTCCCATCCATACAATGTCAATTACTTACATAAAAACATTCATACAATCTTTGTCATTCAATATTTTCACTATTTTTCCTGGAATACTGAAATTCATCAAACAATAGCATATAATTAGTTAAGAAATGAGGAGAACACATTTGTAAAGCTGTTGAAATTTTGTGTAGGCCTTCGAACAAATTTGGTGTAGATTGTAATAAAGACATTCTATAGCAAGTTCTTATAACAAATAGCATGTTTGCACTTGTGTCTGTAAACCTAAGCAACAGTCTTTAGAATTAAATCTTCTGGGTAGAGGTGCATGATTTATGTACAGCTTCTGGGTAGAAAGTGCTTTTTTGGGTAGAAGAGTATGCGTTTCAAAGTTTCCACGAAAAAAAGGGTAAGATAAGAGGGAAAGAAGTGTTGACAAATCATCAGCTCGCAAGCATTGCTGCTGAGCCCATCTCCCCCTCCCAAATACAAAGTTGATTACTCCTAAAAAGCATTTATGCAATCTACTCCAGTCAGGCTTTCACTATAATACCGGGAAATTGCAGTTTAGCAAAGAGTGAAGAGTTAGAAGATCCTTCATATCATTTAGCTGCAAATTGTTTTCAAAGAAACTGCAAAATTGAATTGGTTAGTCTTACTGTAATGTTTTTGTGAATACTAGAACTTTTGGTCATTGAACCAGAACCATGCATCGATTTGCACAAAGAAAAAACAACTAAGTTTGCCCAAAATATAGTAAGGTGTTTCTGTGGTCGATTGCTTCAGAGAAGCGAAGTATCAGCGTGTAACTGAATCATAATTTATACAACACTGCGTGTTAGAGCATTTAGTTGTCCCTGGTCTCACGCTTAAAATACATGCAATTTTCCTAACAAAATTCAGTTCCTACCACAATTAAGTCATAGGAAAATAGAGATTATTCGTTTATCAACTGAGGAGATCAATAGAGTTTGCAGCAAGTTTTTCTTAACCAGGTCTTGTCATGTAATAAGAATCCCATGCTTTCCTACAAAGTCAGAACAAGGAACAAGAGACAATGAAAGTGTCTACTCTCAGCGACATCAGACAAGATGCGTAATATCATCCACCATGTTAGGGTGGACAGCAATCAGATGATATCTGTAACAAGCTTTTATTTAGCTGCTGCTTTACTATGATTCTCCCAAGCACTCTAAATCTAGTGCAGCATAGACGTAGGAACAAGGGGGCATAGAGGGTACCTCCCCCACATTTTATAAACAGAGATATGTACCTATTTGCATCTTACGAAGGTGCCTCTTTTTGCAAACATGTGTCCCTCTGTCCCACTTTTGAAATGCTTTCTTGTCTTGGCGTGGCAAAGGTATTTTTGTATTACAATCTACCCTCCTTCTCTAGCTTCAAATAACTTGAAAACTGTCTTTTGTAGCACCAAATAGTGACTAAACTGCTTCAGCACCTTCTGAAAGTCTAGCGAATTTTGTGTGGACATTTTGTTAACTGGCAAGCTCTCTGCAGAGACTTCAGCTTCCCTTGAAGAAAACAAGCAAATCCTCTAGGACCTGATGCATTTCTAAAACTTCTAATTCTGAGTAACGTCCATTGACAAAGGCTTCAAAACAAACAAATATTTTTTGGCACAAATTCTTTTGACACTAGCATGTCTATCTGCAAAATATTTGCTTTTTTCAGACATTTCAAAATTTTGTGACATGGTTTAAAGGGTATGCCAGAAACGAGTATGTCAAAAGGCAACTATAGAAAAGATAAATTAATTGAATTGTGAAGATTTTTTCTCCTCCAAACCTCTAATCAAGCTTAACATTTAAATATTCGACTATTTACAAGTACAACGGTTACAGATGTGAGTAAAGTGAAATCTGGGAGAAAATTGAAATCTTGAAACTGTTTTGTACACACCGCGGATATTAAGCAGTGCTTTCGTCACCATTTTCATTGTACCCAAGGTCAACATCATTGCTTCCATCTGCCGAATCTCCGCTTGCAGGATTTGGGATTTCTTGTCCTTCTACAATGCCTTCCGCATTTCCGCTGGAATCTTCCTGCATTTCATTTCCATATGGTTCGTTCACATCATTTCCTTGTTCGTTCTCTTCAATCAGTGATTCTTTATTGTTATCCTTCACACCATCTTCATCAATAGATTCATTTGCTTCGTTTCCTTGATCTTCGCCATCCAATTCATTCGCATTGAATCCTTGATTGCCTTCCTCACCATCCAACTCATTCACAGCACCCTCCTGTGCATTCTCTTCGTCGTTGGATTCATCTACATCATTCACAATAGCATCTTCGTCCCCCTCCAATTCACCTCTATCGTTTTCTTGACTCTCTACATCATCACCTGTCTCTTGATTCTCCAAGATACGATCAACTTCTTCACCATTCTCATACGAACTTTTTTGTAAATTCTCATCTTCAATCATAACACTATGGTGTCCTTTTTCCCTGTTCGTATCAATGTTCTCGTCTTCCACAGCTCCCTCTTCATGTGAGCTTTCACCAGCTGCTTCATCTCCCTCCTCAGTCCCTGCTTCCATCGACCCTTTGGTAGTGGCCGAAACTGGCCTACTGCTTTCTGTATACGCACCGTAAGAATATCGCTGACTTTGTTGCTCATCTACGTCATCTTCTGCAGAGCTGCTGCTACTGTCATCACTTTCACTGCTGCTACTGCTATTGCTACTTCTTCGAGATCCTTCTTCTTCAATTGTGTCATCACGTGATTCGGCTGTCTTAGGCCTACTTTGCTTTGACCTTCTTCCCGCACCACTTCTGAGGGAAGCTTGACTTTTGAAATCAGACTGTGATAAATTCACGCTACTCATCATCGAGATGTTGTCTTCCTACAAAAACAAAACAGAATCGCTTCTTAGATATCAACAAAACAGCTCAAGGATTTAGACTTGAACCGTGCGAAATGCTTATATTATAAAAAAAACAGAGCACGGAGTACCTAAAACATAGAGGTCAAATGGCTTATAACTGTGCAACAAGTCAATGGCTGTAAAATAATTGATGTACCAAGCCTAGGGTCTCGTCTTCAGTATTTTCAGGAAGGTTTTGATCACGTTTGAAAAAATGCTTGGTTTTGAATATTTGAAGGGTACACTGCAGAAGTTTAAAGGCTAGAGTTATCTTTTAATAACCAAGTCAAAGTTATCTGGAAGAACCAAAATGTTTTGCTTTTATCTTCGCTTAGTATTGATTTCAGGTATGTAAACTTGTAAAAACCATTTTAGGACGAGATTCTTCTACAATTAAGCATGAGAATTGCATGGCTTTTGGCAATTATAGAACTTTCAAGCTATAATCTGAATTAGTTATATTAAAACAATCATCTTAAGAGGTCTTTGGAGATGTTTCTACTAATAAAACCAAGTTCACCTCAGTCCTAGCTGTAAGGCTACCATCGTTTGTTGCTTTCATGCTTTCTCGATATTCAATGATCTGTTAGCAAAAGAAATAAAGTTTGAACCAGATCTAGGCAAGACATAATCAGATCTAAAATTCCTGCCAAAAATACTTTGAACATAAAGCAATTTGCATTGTGTTTTTCTATATTTAATTTCTCTTCCTGAATGCTACGACCTCCACCCCTTTCCCCAGAACAATAATGATAGTCTAGAAAAATATCATACAAGCCACAAGAAAAACATACTCTATGATATCTCTCAATTTTCTATAGTAAACCAACATTGTTCCTAAGGGGAGAGGGGGTGGCTGAATTTCCCAGTGTTTGACGTGAATGTTCCAAGACGCTTTGCAGTGAATGTACGGTAGGGATTGTAGGAAATTTTTGCAGGGAATGTAGGATAGACAATCAAAATGGTTTGCAATAGAAATTCTTCTTCGTTGTTCGGGAATGTCTATCATTTGAAGTTTCCGTGAATAGATGAGTCATTGTTCAGTTGAAAAAAATGCTTTGTAAGCTGCAGTTCGGTCATGAGGCTCTTCTCAAACGAGGCTATTCTGCAATCCTACCATTTTGATCTCAACGAAATACTGAATATCAAGCTGGCAAGACCTGCAGTGATGCTACTCAGAGGCGGATCCAGCGGAAAATCTGAGGGGTGCTTAAGGGCGTTGCCTTAATAGCCATAATAATGCCACACCCCACTTTTACTTACGGTTAAATGAAGGCAACACCCATCTTGATAAATTAATCTTTTTTAAATTCAGGTATTAAAGCATAACTATATAAAAAATGATCTCTTTTGTTAGAAGCCTATTTGCTAGCAATGATAGTTAAAAATAACACTGCTACCTTCGCAGTTTGTACATCACATTAATCAATGAATGACATTTTAGGTCGTTAGTCAATTGCAACGCTCAGTTGCAACTTTGACCATAGAGGTTGATTGATAGGGGTGCTCAAGCACCCGTAGAATTGAAGTAGCTCATTGGCCGAGAGTATGGTTTGATGGACAAGTAAAAAAATTGGTTCCAGGGCTGCTCGACATTAAATTTCTAGCTATTTATAGTTTAAAGCAGATACAGGTTATGCTAACTAACGCATGACCGTATGTCATCAGTTTACTGGAAAATACATTTACATCATCTAAAAGGATTCAAGACGTTTTTCAGAGATTAGAGAAAATGCATTGAATGTTATATCTCCGAAAATTCTGACCGGTGCTCAAGCACCCATAGCACCCCCCTAGATCCGCCTCTGGCTACTGACCCACAACGTAATGGACCATGTCGCATACAGACAGTGGCGGCACCATGGGGTTGAATGGTGGGGGTTGGGAGTTATAACCACCTAATTTTGTCAAAACATGGTCCACATAATTCTTCGAAAAATTGAAAAATATGCATCAGATAGGGAAAGGTCATATTTTTTCAAGACTTGCCTTAGGCAAATACATCTGGTATAAAGCAAAGAATGAGCCAAAAGAGTGGTCGCTTGGGTCACGCCCATTACCCTCCCACTCTGCGGTAGTTAGCACAACTACAGCATACAAAACTATCAATTCTTAATAGCTTCATGATCACAATTGAAAAAGAGCAAGTAGATTACCTCAGTGTTTTTCAAAAAATGCATGTATATTATAGCACAACCCTATAAGAGAAAATTTTGAAAATCATTAACACAGTATCAATTCTTTCCTCTCTGATGTGAAATTACGTAAAGCAATTATATCCATGATAACTTTTAGAATATCAGAGTGGAATCTAAAGGAACGGGCAGATAATGAATGATGATGTGCTCGAACTTATGCAGTCAATAGTTTTGTGCGGTTCCTTCTCGAGACACAAATAACGTGCCTTTGGAAACAAATGTTCACATATCCATAGACTTAAATGATATAACATTTGGAAAAAATATAAGCCAACATTTTTTTCAAACTAAATCTTGGCATAATATCTTGAGCCCATGGACCAATAAAATTAATTTAACGTCACGTAAAGACAAAAAGAATTGTAGTTAGTAACTATTTATAAAGAAGAAGATGGCACTTTACAGTTAATTTATGTTAATTTATGTTAATTTATGTTAATTTATGTTAAATATCATTTTTAGTCAGAGCTTTACATTGGCCTGGACACAGGTTGAAAAGTGGGGGGGGGGAAGGGGCAAGGGAAAATTCAATGCCAATAACAAAAGATTTTGGAAATAGCTCTATCACCTTGCAAAGAAGGGGTGCCATGCCCCCCCGTTGGAGACCCAGCTTTACAAGTTTTGAAAAGCTGTCACACCGATGTAATGGTTATGTTTTTGCAAATACAGTTAAACTTTAGTTTGCTACACGAAATAGAATTTTTCTCCGAATAGTGACTAGCGTGCTTTTGTGGGGTAGTTAAAGCCCCCAGCTTATCTATGTTGCCATCTTGAAAAAACAGGATAGTTTAAATTGAAGATTTACCTGTGTTCCATACATTGCAAGGAAAAAGAAACTAAAGGAGAGCTTATCAGGATTGTTGCGAGCCATAATGCCTGAGTACCAAGCAAGGAATGCAACTATCATTAGAAGGCAACTTCTTTTGTAATATTCACTGAAAACAAAACATCATGCAATCACTTTCAAGTATATAATGCAAAGGCAAAGCTTACAGTTTATTGAGGTTTTCAAAAAGAAATAGCTTTCATAGGAATATTTCGATACTTTCCAAGACGGTTTCCCATAGCAAAGAGCGAAACCACATAGCAAACATTCGTTTTATAGTATTGGGGTTCCAAATTTTGTTTCAAGTACAGCCATAGTCTATAGTACAGTAAAGTCGCAATAATGCGAACCTTTGGTGAGTTGAAACCTTGATGACACGAACTGTTTCGAATTCTTCTTAAACCATTTCCTTTACTTTCAAATCCCCAACTCGACCCCTCGATGACTCGAACTGTTTCGAATCCCCTTTAAACCTTTTTCATTACTTTAAAAACCTCGATAACTCGAGTCCTCGATTACTCCAGCCCTCGATTACTCCAGCCCTTGATAACTCGAACCTTGGATCCCTTTACTTTCGAAACCCCGATAAGTCGAAGCATGGATAACTCGAACTGTTTGGAATCCTCCTTGAACCTTTCCCCTTACTTTCGAAACCCCGATAAGTCGAAGCATGGATAACTCGAACTGTTTGGAATCCTCCTTGAACCTTTCCTTTACTTTCGAAACCCCGATAAGTCGAAGCATGGATAACTCGAACTGTTTGAAATCCTCCTTGAACCTTTCCCTTTACTTTCGAAACCCCGATAAGTCGAAGCATGGATAACTCGAACTGTTTGGAATCCTCCTTGAACCTTTCCCCTTACTTTCGAAACCCCGATAAGTCGAAGCATGGATAACTCGAACTGTTTGGAATCCTCCTTGAACCTTTCCTTTACTTTCGAAACCCCGATAAGTCGAAGCATGGATAACTCGAACTGTTTGAAATCCTCCTTGAACCTTTCCCTTTACTTTCGAACCCCGATAGTCAACATGGTAACTCAACTGTTTGAATCCCCTTGAACCTTTCCCTTTACTTTCGAAACCCCGATAAGTCGAAGCATGGATAACTCGAACTGTTTGGAATCCTCCTTGAACCTTTCCCTTTACTTTCGAAACCCCGATAAGTCGAAGCATGGATAACTCGAACTGTTTGGAATCCTCCTTGAACCTTTCCCTTTACTTTCGAAACCCCGATAAGTCGAAGCATGGATAACTCGAACTGTTTGGAATCCTCCTTGAACCTTTCCCTTTACTTTCGAAACCCCGATAAGTCGAAGCATGGATAACTCGAACTGTTTGGAATCCTCCTTGCACCTTTCCATTTACTTTCGAAACCCCGATAGGTCGATCCATGGATAACTCGAACTGTATCGATTCCCCTTCGGCCTTTCCCATTGATTTCGAAACGTCGATAACTCGAACCCTGGACAATTCGGTCTTTTCAGTTGCTTTCGAAACCTCGATAACTCAAAAATTCGTTGCTTCAAACAATTTGCATCATTCCTTGGGAGCTTCGAGTTGTCAGGATTATAGTGCATGTTGCTACAAGCCCGTATATGTTTAAGAAAGGATTCTTTTGATCGGGCAAGTCTGGGTCGGATAGCAACACTCACTAAGAATCACTCATTTCATAGGCAGCGTGATAAAGGGCGTTTATTCTATAAAAATGTTCTACACCACCAAATGTTTCCACTGTAGCTATGATATTCAACTTGTACTCATAAAATATAGCCTGGATGCAAACTTTACTTTCCGTTGCGAAGGAGAGTAAAGTCTGCACGCAGGCTAATAAAATAAAACATTTTCAAAAAATATAAATGAGACTTCGAGCAGAACGAAAAAAGCCGGGAATCACCACCTAGCACGAACCGAAGAAATTGATTAAGGAGGTTTGTAGCGTGTTGAGCTTTCTATAGATAGCAATAATGCACTGAGCTAGACAGAGTTCACAGTTGCTCAACTGGTACGCCTACAACTTTTATCATGTTTTTCAGAGATCTTCTAATTCTAATCGATTTTGCATAATAATCTTCAGTCCGCATACTATTTTGGCTTGAATCATGCTTGAAAAATAAAGAATTTAATAGAATTTCGTGTTATTTTTTGCGCTTAAATTGCAGCTTGCTTACAGAAAGTAATAGAATAATGGAGGACCTGACTTGCTAAAGCTTGGCCATGAGAAATGCAATGATCAGTAAAAATACTCACATTGCACGCCTGTACGGGTAATCATATTTGCCTCCAATATAACTTCGAAGCTCGTAAAATATAAGAGCATAGGACAGAGTGATGGCCTGGTAAATAAAAATATATTTTAGACTAGCAAGACAGTCTGCAGTTGGTGAAACTAGATGCCATAAAGAAACAGAGTGTTTCTAGTTAAAAGTGATGCAATAAGTTCTGTTGTGGTCCATTTTTAAGGTGGCTCCTTTTTAAGATGGCCACCAACAGAGAAAAGGTTACTTTTGTAAACAACATGGCTTTATTGTTATACTATACTGTATATCCTTAAATTACACGATTTAAGAACGACAACATGGCGGGCAAACGGCAATGACAATCCCAATGGCCATAGATAAAAACATATACATATAAGCAACAAAGTAAACAACTACAAATTGGTATACAAACGATTAAAAACTGATAAATACAGGAAAAAAGGAATTGGGTTTGGTCTAGACCTACTCAATAAACCTACTGTTGCGAACTTCATAAACCAGCACTCCGCTGGTTATACTCTTAGGCAACGGCAAAGAAGAAGTCAAGTTTTATCTGAAACATTGTTCTTGCATTTAATATACACTCATGTTGTGTCACTTAGAGGTGGAGCAAGAGACGACGAAACATGAGAGAACATGTCTGTAAGTCGTCAAATCTATGTTTAAAATTGCCCTTCCTATATCCAGAGAAACAAACGAGGAAAATATGACAGAACACGCCTAGAGGCACCTGTAACAGAGAAGCTGTGGCACAGTTTCCTTGACTTAGGCCTATCCGCTTAATTCAACTGAGTAGCCGCTTGATTTCTAGGCATTTCGCCAGCTTACAATATAGCAAGGCTTGCATATATTTATGTTGAGATAATTGTAAACATAGCGTAATTATAGGCCTAATTCAATGCCAACTAAGACAATAATGATACTTACCAGCACAGAAAACAACGGGCCAATGACAAAATACAGCAGTCCAGACCCACTTACTTTCATCCAAGAGCTATGACAGAAAATAGAACACACTCAACAGGTCTTCAACATAAAAGTAAGTTAGGCATGGCTACTACATTACGTCATAGCTGGATTACATTGAAACAGAAAATGAAAGCTGGTTATCATAGTCAAAGAGAAAATAAAAGACCAGTGCTATTTTCATTAGGGCAATAAAAGGGACTGAATCACTGCATGTATATTCCTTCCGCTGAAACTTGTCCTTATTTTGCCAAATGGAAACAGGCTAAGAGTTGATGATGATGATTCTATTATAATTCTAATATATATCATTGATAATGTGCCCTTTTTGAGTTGCTGCCATCGCTGTCTCAAAATGGTTCCGGCGCCCCTGCAGGTATTTGCAAATTAAGCCTTGTCCTTTCTTGATATTTGGACAACTTTTTCATTAACTTCTCAAAAGCAACACAATGAGATGTATCAGGTAACACTTCACATTTTATGCTTCTCGTAAATTCTGCCCTTCTGTATGATTCAAATTCATCTGAAAGAGGATCTAATCTTTCTTGAATTACATTTATTTAAAATTCTAAAGAAAAAGTCAATGAGGTAAACAGAGATAAAACCAATGCGGTAAGCGAAAACAAATCCAAAGAGTTTCCGATTTCGTATCCCTATGTATGCTATGGAAAAACATTTACAAATTCTCACAAATCAGAATAACACATTTCATCTTTGTGATTTCATCAATAAATTCAAATGTAGAGGAACATAAAGGAGTGTCAAGTTAAAGAAGAATAATTAGGGGGCTCAATAGGGATAACGAGGGGGGGTAGAGGGCTGCTGGTTAGTTTCATGGAGGTGATAAATTGACTCAAAAACTCATGATTTTCTGATTCATAGCATTAGTTGCAGATTTTTTACCACTTTTGTTTTGATAATACAAGGTGATTAAAAGGGCCAGCTCTTGTTTCCTCACGAAAGAATCATTTTGTTGTTATAATTGGCAAGGCAATGATTAAAACATATGGAAACGAAATTCGCACTCACAATTCAGCAAGCACAGTAAGGTCGTAAGGGTAGCCCGCACATGCCCCAGACAATGCTGCTGGTATACCTAGGAAAAAACCAACATTAACATTAGTTCGTTTACAAATTCGATCAAATAATAAATAGCTTATATCATACACAGGGTGCTATTTATATAGAGATTTCATGTATAACTGTGAAGGTTCTGAAGAAAATCTTCCGTGATATAGTAGTTTAGAATTTAAGATACTGAAATTCTCCAGAATGCAATGAGAATGGTGTTTTTGTAGACAAGCAAAAGATGAAAGTTAAGATGTAATCATCACAACAGAATTTTGTTTTATTTCTATGTTTAAAAGCTTTTTCACTCTTGATTTTATCTCAGTTATCA